GAGTGAGCTTTGTGCGTGCACTCTTCCTTCATAGTCCCTGTTACTGGAACAGATGTGAAAAATGTCAGATTAACATATTTTACAATGAAGTGAAAAAATGTCCAGACCACACAGATGCCTCTATGCAAAATACATATGCATACAAATCTATTTTTATAAAGATGTAAGATGGCAAGGTAATAAACAATTTGAAACACCTTTAAAACTAATCCTGAAATATCTATTAAAAGCAAAATGGGATGGATTCTAGTCTGTGTTACTAAGGAAAAAAGGAAATTAAGTACCAGTCTTTGTTTCGGCAAAATATTGAATGGGACAACCTTTATCTAACAAAGAAAAAAAATGTCTCAAACTGTTCTGCAGACCAAAAACAAACATAAGTAATGAATGTACTAAAAGAACCATAAGCAAGAAAGAAGTTGGAGAAATATTCAATTCTCTGATGCTCTGAAGAATTGTTGTTGATTATTAGCAGTTATTATTTAAGGTCGATTTTTCTCATAACTTTATTTTGATGGTGTAGACTTGAAATCAGATCCAAAATGCTAACCATGTTCGACATAACTGTTAATTTAGAAGAAACTAATTTGATATGGGACAAAAAGAAGCAAAATCCGGCGAGACAAGGTGAGAAACGCCACAGAAATCGTTTACTGTCACCTTGCCGAGAGCTTGGCAACTGAAGAAGCAGCCTGAACACGACAGGCTTCACATCTTATTTTTCTGTGAACTTTTCCAGTAACAGGATTAAATCGCTTTTTTTCCCCACAGCTATTCATTTGCCCCTGTTAAAATGGATTATTTCCTTCTCCTCAAAAAGTTAATATTTATTCTGTAATCTGAACTCTTTCTCTCACTCTCCCCTCCATGTCTTAATTCCACCCCCCTTTCCACAAGTGAAACGAATGAAGTACAGCAATCCAGGTGACTTTGGCTCTCTGACCTGTTCTGGCCCACTGCTCCTCTGATCTGGTGATTCATCCTCAATAACTCTAACAGTATTTGTTCTGACATTTTAATTAAAATACTACTACCTCATTCAGATGATAAAAAGGGCCATGTAGCAGTGAAAGCTAGCTTTCCAGAGGCTTGCTGCACCTGAGGACCTCTGTGACTCCAACAGAGGAGAGTTTCAATCATGTAAAAGACTGTCATCATTATCCTGTCCAGAAACGGGCAGTTAACAGTTAACAGTGGAATGGAGGTTGAAAGCACGGACTCATCCATATTAAATCAAGCGGTGCTGGTGCTCTGACTGCAGCCTACTCTAGTAATAACACGGACTTGTAGAAATTCAAGGATATTTGCATAAACAATGCAGAATGATGGTTTATCCTTCAATAAGTAGCTTAACAATACAGCTGTGCACAAGCCTTGGATTTTAGTAACACCTTACACCAATGTTCCTATTTTGTAAGTTACAAAAGATAAGAAATTAGACTGATTTGCCACCAATGAGTGTGTAGCAATGACTCAGGTCTACTTATACGCTGTAATTCATTCCACAATGTCAAGTCTCAGCAAAAATCATCCTATGTACATTCCAGTGTCCCACTTTGCTAACTTCCTAGATAACCAGTTACCACAAAACATTTCTCTTAGATTTAACTAACATAGTATTATACAGTATCAGTAACAAATTTAAGTATTTTATTAAATAAAAGCCACTCTTCATACTAGGCATCATATAGTCCAGAATTCTAAATGTCTTCATACAGCAGGAGTGGTGGAAGTGCGGAGCTGCCTTGCTTTATAATATCGTGTAGATGCATATAGTATTTATAACATACAAATACATCCGAAGACAGCTCCGCAGCCGAAACATGTTTCTTTTCTTCTCTTTTCAGCATGGAATAAACCTTTACTGGTATTTGTAACATACAGTAACACACAGGGTTTGCCATTTTAGTTTGGTTTATCTTCATGTTCTGTTGCACCCTCACCTTAATAATAGCTCCCACTGTTGTTTCATTAAGAATGAACCAACTTAACTGAGCTGAAACTAGGAAAGATGACTTTAAACATGAGTCTTGATAATCATTTTTACATTACAGGTGTAGGTGGGATTAAGTGCCTTGGAAGACTATAATTTACAAAACTTATATATACTGTAAATCAGGTGAAACTCAAAAAAAGGTTGTCTTAATCTAGCACCACATTTTTCTTTTCACCTGAAGTTAATTATTTTTTAGATTTATACTTTAAGAACACAACACACCACTGTTGCAGTTTCCATGTCAGTTTCTCTTGAAGGAATACAATCTTTAAGGCACTGTTGCTGTTCACATATAATATAATTTAATCCAATTTAAGGTCATATTTAAGGTCACACTCAGCTTTTTAATCGCCAAATTCTACAGGCACTGACAGAATATAATGGTAATCAATGGGACGTGTACCTAATAAATTCACTTTGTTCCTGGCACACTCCTGCTAATAGTCACATTTATTAGTGGTACATCTAATTTCACCTCTAATAAATATTACCCCAAACGCCATCCAATTATTTAAGCTGTCAGGATTTCTCCTAGAATAAAAATAAGCTTATTTTTCCATCTTTTAACTTCATATTTGTTCTTTGGGTTGTTTGCAGTGCTGAAATCTGGTAATTTATCTAAGAATAATTTATCTAATTCCAACAACAATAAGCATATTATTATTAGTGAGAAAATTGACTCTTTAATAAGGTTTTCCAGTGGTCTAAATAGCTCCTATCCAACTTCATCACAATGAGAACACCATTAGAAAACAGACAATAATTTCCTGATATAAGCAGCTATATAGGACATGTAATGCCTTAACATTACATACAGTATAATGACAACTGACCAAACATTCTACACAGTTTAAACAGGAATGCAGCAAGTGCAATGGTAAGATTTTAAGTGGACCTGAAAATCTTTGAAGAAGTTGTATTAGTTTTTTACACACAGACTGACACAGCAGTCAGTGTTTGTTGTTCCATGAATTGCCTTAATGTTTTATTTGGAAGGCTTCTAGAAAGTCAATACACTCTTGTAGCATAGGAGGTATTCTCATGTTATTGTGTAGCCGAGTCTAAGGAAAAGAACAATTAAAAAAAGAACTTGACACAATGAATTGTATTCCGCATTTAACTGTACCCAGTCTTCAAATAACACAGCAGTGTTATTGACTATTGTTGTAGAATGTTTCAAAAAGTCAACTGCTGCCTATCATAGATGAGTAGGGTATGCAGATTTCAGATGTTTCCTTGCCAAATCACAGACTTGCTTTGGATGTTGTGAAACAGCATTGTGGGAGTGTTAATATACCATAATCATGCAGCAATCAAATCCTTACTGAAACAACAAGAACTGAGAATGAGTGATCACTCAATAAGGGCAGGTTATAGAATAGCAACAATGGGATGCTGTCTGATCTGTTCTGAAAAAAAAAATGCTTGTCTATCATGACATTATTCATTCAGATGTTAATTTAAAAACAATGTGAAATTACACTGTATTAACATCACCAGACACTGCTGGGAGTTATTTAAACTATTGCTAATGTGAGCAGACAGAACGTATACAATCTGTAGACTCTCAACTCAGAATGAAAGCATATGTGAGGTGTTCTTAAATACTACAGTTATCATCTAAAAAGAGCCTTGTAATGGAGAAATGTGTTTAGTACAGCACCCATCTCTTCACTGCTATGCCAAAAGAAACAATTTGCGTGTGAATTAGAACCAAGTTATATCATTATTTATGGAAGGAGTTGTCAGGGGGTACTTCATTCTCGTACCATACAGTATAACTACTTTGTATTTATCAATCTGAACATTGATTTCTTTTAGCATTCCTTAAATTTGATGTGATCACTCTGATTTTACATAACGACTAGAGAGTATACATAGTAAAACCAGATCATCAATAGCTAGGGTTTCTGGTTACACAGTAGGTATTTATTTGTGACTCTTGCAACTAACAGATTTACAGAACAAAGTCCTTAAAACTATCTTTACTAAATCCCTGGTAAAAGCAGGGACCACAAAGTGGCATCTAGCTAAAGCAAAGGTAAACTGAAGAAATGAAGATGAGTTAGGTTCATAGTGAAGTATAACCTGGTTCTGGATCTGCATAAACTGTAGTTTGCAGTCAAGAGGAATTAGGAGAGAGAGATTATCCTGAGCATCCTTACACAGCTCTACACTTCGTGTAGTATCTTCCTCTCAAAATGGACTTACAGCTAGGGATGAAAGCATAAGGTTACCATGACATTCTTGCATATCAGATACAAATTGAAATCAATAAACATGTTCCCTCTTTTACTTTGTACTAAAAATATACAACACTAGATGTAATGTTTTGTAGGCCTTCCATCTGCTTTCTTTAATGCTGAGTTCTTTTAGGATACACTGTGCCAGTGCTGCTTTTGGTGCTGGTGTTTGTTTGTATACAAATTACCTCAGTCAACAGAGAGCTGAAAAAAACTCTCTTGTTTAAAGCATGTTTTAACTAAACAAGTCACTTTAATACACATATTAAACTTACAAATATTGTCTAAATGAATATAAATTTAAATGTAGTAGTTTGCTATAATCTTTTATCTAAAACTGAGTTATTTTTCTGGGTATGTGCCAAATACCTTTGAGGATGGCAATGAATAGTAGCTAATGAATGTGAAAATAAAGTAATAACATATACAAGATTTTAAATTATTAAACAGATCCAAATAAACAGTCCTATGCCAAATCATGAGTTACTTTTACTTTAGTTTCAATGTTATTTTTCTAGACATTCTATAAGAATGCAAAACATCCAAACTATTCTTTCTTTTTTGCTGTTTCTGTGTGGAAATATTTACTTACTTTATTTATTATTTTTTACCTCTTTGCCAATTGAAACTATAATGTTATGAAATAAAATGGAGTTATTGCGCAAGGTGAGCATTGTAGAACACTGAATAGATCAAAACATCTTCATTGGAATCAATACTATTCCCAGACACTGTACCGAAACATCAAACTGAACTCTTACCATTCCCTTCAGACTCTCCGTATTCAGAAAAGAGTCTGGACACAACTGGAGCAAGATCTTCTTTAGCTGTCCCAGAAGACCGACAAGTAAGATGGACCAGGTCTGTTAACAACAAGAGAAACAAATTTACAATTTCAGAAAGTCACGTGCAATGTGATGCAGTAATGGAAATCCATTTTACAAATATAGCACAGCTTGGATCTGCCAAATGGCTTGAACAGTAAATGCACGTATTGGAACCAGTCATCTTTGCCGAATTGAGGCTGGGCATCATTACATGACCCAACATGGACTGCCTAGCTAGCAGCACACAACTACCACAGCACCACCAGGATAGAGAAAGCACAAGTTAGCCATGGTCCTCCCAGGCACCTTTAAGAAGGGAAGTCGCTGAGAGAGGCCTTAATCATCCAAACACTTCCGGCTCTTACTTCAGGCCTGTTGGGCTTGCAGGTTGTCAAATAACTGGCTCTACAGCTGGGCTACAGAGGAGAGTGTCTGCAAGTTTCATTTTCTCACAAACCCGTTTGGGAGTTGCTGCCAGAAATCCAAGTCTAACTTGAACACACCAAAGCAATAAAAATTGTTGACAATCCCAGATTTTGGAAGACTGTAAAAAATACAAACGTTTTACGCTACTATTGTCAGTGAATTTGCAGACAAGTTTCTTCCAATTATAGCTGGAAGGAGGCTGAGGTTTCATTTCTTCATCTACTGTTCATTGGTTGCTCCCAAACAAGTACCATTAACAAGGGGGTATGCATTACCTTGTTAATGTGACGAGGTATGATCTTCAAAGCAGAGACTACAATCCCCCTCAAGAAACAATACAGACAATAAAAGAGATAAGGGGAAATGCAAGTCCTTATAAATCCCCTATAAGGACTTGGTTTCCAACTTGCCCCAGGTTTAGATAGCCCTCCAGCTTTTTTTTATGCTTTCTTTAAAAGTGTTCCTCTCTCTTGAGTACTGAAGAAATGTCAAAGAAAAAAAAAATGTGTGGCACTCATCTGTGTATACCTGCCATTGCCTGTTGGTAAAGGGATCACCTGAAACAGGTGATCCCTTCTCCTTCTCCAGAAAGGCAGTAGAGATACTGCCTTTCTGGAGAAGACAGTGGTGGTGACCAACATGTACACTGCAGGCGACACTTAATTGTGAACTGAGGATTTCCTTTTAGGCAACAATAGTAAGAACATCCTCTCTACGTGTTCAAGTATTGCGTAGTTAAATAAGCTGTTTTCAAAAGAATGTTCTTCTGTATCAGGGATCAAAAACTATAGTTCTGAAGAACAAGAGGGTTATAAATAAATAATTTAACTGAACTCATTGGTTGCTTAATTAGTAGAATTGAACTTGTTTTCTCTGCTAAATATTAAACGCTGCCTATAAAACCTGCAAGACTTCAGCTCTTCAGGAATAGGGATCCAGAACTCGGCTCAAAATGTGTACTATTTATTACACTTATCTAGAAAAGTATTCAAATACTAAAACTACTACATTTACTTTAAACAACCTTACAGCTTGAAAAGTTATTTTTTAAGAAAAATGACTTTGTCAGTGAATAATTGTCATGCAACACTCCAGTGAGCGTGCTGGCAGGGAGAGGAACAGTACAATGTCTACACTTCTCCACCTCCTCACAAAGCAGATGAATTGCAGGGATATTCCACACCACAGCACTATGTTTAATTACAATATCTCAATCCTGCAAGATAGATGCTTTTCTTTTCTTATGACTGCCCTAGGAAAGAAAGTGTTGCAAACCACAAGTGACTTCACAGCCACATGATCCTGATTTAGAAAACAAAGTCAAAACGTAGCTCTGATGTGAGAAAACAGACCTCTCAGATCATTAAGTATGACTGAAGCAAAGCCAAAAGTTTCTGATGAAGCTATTACAGAAAACACAGTTTCTGTTACATATCTATGAAATCTGTTTCCCAACATTCTCAATTAGGAAATTTGTGCTTGTAGATTTCTGACAGGGAGTAGTTTTTGGTAATGTCTCCTTGTACATGTTGCATTTTTTTCTTCTAGTGCATTTATTGATGTCATTTTCCCCTGCAGTGCATGCCTAAAAGATTTCCTGACTTATTTTTCTTAACAGAAGACTTACATTCCATATTATTAACAATAAAACCGCATATTTGAAACATGCATGTCAAAATCATTAAAGATAAGGGTGTCACACCAGTTAAAATATAGCCAACCATGTCAAAGTGAGGTTTCTCATTTCCTGAAGACAATGGCTTCAACAACCAGCACTTGGTGTGCATACAGTTATTGGTAACATTACAAAGAGAACCTAATAAATATAACAGATGGAAAACCATGAAGCTCCAGCTAATGAGAAAAACAAACATGACACGTGTACAATGTTAGAATACTGAAAATATAATGACCTAATACGAGGCGTTGATTTAGCAGATATGGAAAGATTACTCCCAATACAGAAAGGATTCATCTACCTAACCAAGGAATGGAAATAAGTAGAAGCATTGTTAAGTGCCATTCATGTTTTCCTGCATAGATCCACTTCAGTGCAACTCCAGCTAGCAGCTAGCACAAAGAACAGTGAACACACTGCTGTCTAAACAGGAAAACAGACCTCAAAACATGCTGGGCGTTAAGATGAGTCATCTTGAATGTCCCCAGTAAAACTGTGCCAAAAAGGGTTTAGAACTAAAAAATCAGCCTCAGTCACAATGTCCAGCGGAAGCAGCAAAGCACAGATGTTTGGTCCACTCAAGAATAAAAAGCTCACAAAAACAAATACTATTTCACACGAAAAGCTCTAAATGAGAAGTGTGTGTATTTCAAGGCACAATCCAAAATTCCTAAGGTTTTCTTTCACAAATTGTAACTGGAGATAAAGGTTCCAATTAATAACTGGGCCTAAGGGATATACTCTTTCCTCAAGGTTAGGAGATAGCACCATTGAGAAGCCGTGTGGGAAAACTATTGCAGTGTTTCTGTCCCTAAGCTCTGATTTGTCCAGGTTGGCATCACTTTCTCCAGGTATTTAAATCATTTATACTACAGCCCACACTGCAGTGCCAATGACAGCCCCACATTCATAAACCTGAGGACACATCAACATGCTTCTCAAGTGTCTTACAGAAATGTGGAAGTATTCACGTATCTGTGGATTTAAAACTACAGCAAAGATAGCCACTGGGATCTCACCACTTCAAACTGTTGAAGAGTTGAGACAGATTTGCTGAGAAGTATTGAAGGAGTATCACCACATGTTTATCTGCTCCTTACTCGGGTACTGCACATCATTTTCATGACCCTTGCACAGTTGATCTATATAAAGCAAGTGGCTTCTTTACCAAGATGGGCCTGACAGTCGGCAAGCAAAGGACCCTTAAATCCTTTTGAAACAATGAATGAACTATGCAACAGCTATTCAAGTCACAGATTTCATAATGGATTAAGGTATTAAAGCTTGAGCAGAACTAAACTGGCAAAATATTTAATGTGCTATGTTCATAAGGATAATGACTGACAGTGTTCCAGTTTAATGCATATAAGTCTTCAACTGTGACAACTAACTTCAGAGAATTAAAACATCCCTTAACATAATGTGTATTTTGTGGTAAGGGTCTAAAAAAAAACCTTCACATTAAATCAATCTACAGTAAGTGCACAAATCCCATCAGTTTTCAAAGCTTTTTGAAAGATTTAATTTTCTGACGGATGTAAATGCATTATTTTGTTCTTTCATTTGGAGCTTGAGAGGTTTCAGATGAGGCTGACAATGGATATGCCTCATTCATGTAGGACCAGTCTAACATTAAAGTCCACACTCCTACCTAAGCGATGAGCCTTCATTTCAAGAGACATTGCTTTCAGTACATATATTATACACCTACAGGCAAAGTGAGGTATTAATGCAAGATTCTAACATTCATATATTACTGCAGTGTATATATACTGCTTATATTCTCCTTTGAATGCGCTCAATCTCTTCTTTTAGCTTCAAATGGCTGGCATGAAGCATTGAGAAGCTTAAGAGATGAATTTGCTTCCATGTGTATTAAGGCATTTATCAAAAAGTTACCAGGTACTGATGATGAAACTTAGGATGCTCTTGAATGAAATATTGCAAGAACATGAACATCTATTTAAAGCAATGTGTCAACATTATTAAAGTGTGATACAGAATTTGAATCTCTTTGCATTCAATCAAACTCACAAGAGTCATCACTTCAGGCACTGCCTCATCCTATGAAGCACAGTGTACTTAATTTTTTTTAAACCATCAAACCTGATCTGACCCTTCTGCGTGCTCACAATATACAAAAAGATGGAGGGTTTCTTAGGACACATTTCCAAAAAGTATGATATAACTATTTTGACATAATGCTGTCAAATTCCATATTGGATGGTGGTTAGCATTCCTGCCGTGCGATGCTGGGGCTCTGGATTTACAGCAATTCCAGACATGGGGTGCTCTCTGTGACGATCTGTGCACGTTCTCCCACTCTCCACATGGGTTTTTCTCTGGATCCTCCAGTTTCCGCCAACAGCTCAAAGACAAACAGGCAAGTTCAACGACATATGGGAACACTGGCCCTGGTGTGAGTGTGTGCATGTTTCTGTCCGTCTGCCCTGTGATAGAGTGGTGTCCTGTTCAGGGTGTACCCTGCCTTGCCTACATTGCTTTCCGAAGACCCTGAGCTGGATGAAGAAGTCAGAAAATGGGTGGACATTCCTTATGAATATTTCTTGTGCCAAAAACCACTCCATACTACCACAGTGTTTGCTCCATTTGCCATTCCTATGACAACATCTAATGCATGACTAATTTTTGCCACTGATTTGTAAATGACTTGGTGTCAAAATCCAGTTCTTACCACTGAAGTGAAAACAAGTCCGAATTTAATTAAAGGACTAGGACACGTTGCACTCTGATAGTGGGTCACGGAGTTCCTATGCACATGAACCCTATGTTAAAGGGTACCGGCACTCTTTAATGATTTAGGTAATTCTGAAAACTGGGTCGGAGGCCAGACCTACCCAGGTGAGGAAACCTCCCCACCCTGACCTGGTCTCACTAGATTCCCCTATAACCCTCATTTTAAACTATGAAAGGACAGCACTGTGCTTCTTCTTCCCTTTTTAAGCTTAACCACAAGTGAAAGAGAACCCTGCACTTCCATTTTTAACTGAGATGCTTAAGAATTTTGAAAACTTTTTTGTGAAATACTAGGTTGTTAACTGAAGGTCATGTACATATTATTTGAAATAAGTGCACAACTATTACGCTACAGTTGTGTTTTTCTAGGTCTTGTAAAATACATTGCCATTAGAAAAACGGATAAGTGTTCATCTTTGAAGCACAGGATGGCTCTATAGATCTCCTCAAGCAGCCAATTCCACAGGGACAGAGAAACAGCTGAGGCACTGCCACCAAGCACAGCTGCCCCAGGAAGACTGACATTGAGGAAAACCTGAATTAGCCTCCAAGTCCAGAACCATCTTCTCTGACAACACAGATGGAAGAGGTGAAGCCTCATAACCTCTTGCATAAAATTCACAGCCTGCAGCTTCTACTCTTAACAGAAAGAGACTTAATCTGCGTCAAACAAACTGACCTCTAATAAACAATTTTGAGCTGCAAAATTGTGACTTGCAGTGAAGAATTGGACACACAGTAGCTTGCTGAGACATTGCTTCCACAAATTGACCAAAAACTATAACACTCACAAAACACAAAAATAATTAAAGAATAAGTGAATCTTGAAACATAAATAAAAGAAAAAAAAGTTCCCTAGGCAGGAAATAGGCAAGATTTGGTACATAATCTTTACATCCAAGAGATTACTATGTCTTTATGCAGTTATTAAAGCTTAATATACTGATGTGATGTTCAGGCAATGATAACACTTGACCAGGTGTAGAGAATGAAACACACCACTATAACTTTATCAGTGCAGACCACAGAGAGGGAGAGAGTTCAAGAGTGGCAGTTTACTTTGACAGGGCTGGCATTGCTATTGACGCAGAGATCAATACCAGATCTCACATGCCGAGATAAGCAATCTCATCCGTAAGCATGGAATACATCATAAGCGCAGCAAACGAAAATCGGAAAAGGGAAAACGACATGTTCTCATAAAATGTAATGATGTTGGGGCTGTCAGAAGCCATTCCAGGCCAAAGTTGACTATAAATCACCTTCCCTTATTTCATTTTCGCATCAATAATAAAAAATCACATCATTGTCTTGGGGACCCAAGTCCAGTGTCTGTCACGCTCATCATTACACAGTTTGATTGCATTTGATCCAGTCAGGTATAACTGCATTAGTTAAAGGGGCTCTGACAATTTATCTTGCAGTGAAACCTCTAACAGGAAGAGCAATGATGTTGCTTCATGATTCCATCATTATGGACTCAATTCGCCGGGCAAGTGAAGGAGTTCAGTTCCACTGAGCCAGAAACACTGATTACACTGCAGCCTTCACTGAAGGAACGATCTGATGTGCAGAGATTAGACATATTCATCTTAATTGTTATGGGAGGGTTAATAATTCAGCTCCAAATCAATTTCAAACTAAAATAAATAACGATCAACATTGAATTAATAAATGACATTTCCAAATATTGTCAACTATTGGAGTATGCGCAAAAAAAAACAATGCTCTGACTGCAGCTGACATTCCCATAAAGCTCATTTTCATTTTCTGTTGCTTTCACAGAAGACTACATAGTGATAAGTGAAACAGTTTGGTTAACATGTAATTTGACATCATAAAAATAAGTTTTACAGGAAGCTGATCTTATGGGTGGTTTCCAGGTAGACAGAAAAGCACCACCTGCACTGCAAGAATATTTATATAATCCCAGCCTGTAATCAGAGGTGGCCCAACAATGGATTTTTAACTCCTATTGGCGCAGAAGACAAAATGGTCAGGTCTGGACTTATCACACCACGATGAGGTCTACAGGGTACGCAGCAAATCTGGGCAGGAAAAGCCAGCACAGCACAATACCCTTGAATGCAGTAACACACTACTGTCAAGAGAGAAGAGGCTGGAAGGTCACATTTAAGGGCAGTCATTGATCATCAGTCTCTTGACTCAAAGAAGCAGCCAAGTGACATTTGCATTTGGCATTTCAGATCGGGGAGGAGTGTAAAAAAAAAACGCAAAACAGGAAAATGTAACCAACAAGACCAGAATCAAATGCATACTGTAAATGAGTAATCTAAGTACCACAGCTAGGCAGCTTAAAAGTAAAATGAGAACAGTAATTTCAGAACTCAAATCCAGTAAACTTCATTCGAAGCGTGTTACCCCATCTTAGAATTTCTCACTATACAGAGATCTCACTTAAAATAAGGCGTTCCCAGTCAGTAGCCAGCTGACGATTCAATTCCGTTTTCACAAAACCAACAAAGGAAATGAAACTAGTCATTCTATTTTTAAAAATTTATTAGAAGCATTTAAAATGTATTCCTAAAATGACAACAAATATGGCTATGTTCAAATAACTGTTCCGTAAGCCGAGGGGGAAAAAAAAAATAACAGAAGTGCATTAAATGGTGAAGACACCTATTGAGATGTAAAAAAGATTTTCACATGCTCACCATGGCTTTGAGTTTTTGTTAAGAGGGTGTCAACTGCATACGTTTACTACAAAATGAGCTGTGGGTAACACTTTTCTATCACCAATATTGTCTAGAAGAGAACAATATATGAATTAACAGATTCCAAAGTCACTTTTATAGGTGTTTTCCTCTAGTTCAGAGTTTAAAGAGTATAATTTTGCAACCTGAACATATTACTTTGCCCTTATTTACATTGCTTTCCATTTGCCAAGTGTCTGCCCAGACACAGTGTCTGTTTTTCATATATTATACTAATTTCATGCTCACATTGGCGCAGAACAACACAAAATTCTGTTTGCATTGGTTTAGCTGCCTGTTATAAGGCCTAATGTCATTATCCTAGAAGGGCCTGGCATTACCAGGGTAGCACTGTGTTAACATCTGTAGCACCACTCCATTAAGAGTACTCATCTGCAACCCCAGTCCTGGAGGCCTCCTGTGATTTGGGATTCACTGGGCACTCCAATCAGGGGGGTGCGGTGGATCTGCGCCTGTGGCTGGAAGATTTCCGGTTCGTATCCTGCGGCCAGCAGTGGAATCCTACTCCATTGGGCCCCTGAGCAAGGCCCTTAACCCCAACTGCTCCAGGGCCGCCGTTTAAATGGCTGACCTTGTGCTCTGATGCCAAGCTTCTCGCTTATGCTGTCTCATGGAGAGCAACTTGGGGTATGTGAAAAAAAATTCCTCATACAAAAAATTGTACATGGCCAATAAAGTGATTTTATCTTATAAGATTAAACTAACAGGCTTACTGAGTGCGTCAACTGGCACAGGTGCTCACCCCAGTGAAAGCTGATCTTTATGATCAAGGGTTTGAGACTAATTCTGAAAGTAGCCCAGAACTAGCTGAGTGCCACTGAGTCAGGCAGGACTCTTTCTGCCAGCACAGTGATCCCTGGAGCGTTCAGACATGCTTTGCTGTCAGTGAATGGTTCTCCCCTGCTCCAATTCGTGCCGAACCTCGAGCATGGGACCCTGCTGCCTGTGACGTTTTTAAAAGATGAGTGGCTGGAAGGTGGGTAGGTCAGCCACAGTCATGGGATTCGGCACCTCCAATCCAAGATGCCAAAAAATACACATTTGGCCTATTGAAAATGGGTGACTATAACAAAAATATCCGGTGATTTTAAATTAAAAAAAAATAGAGAAAAAAGATCATACACATTTAATTCAGCTCAATATTCATGCATTGCTGCAGCCAAGAGCTCAGCAGCAAAAACAACTCGGAGAGCCCTGCAGCTGTCCAGGGCCAGGCTGTGGATTACCGTTTTTACACTTGTCCCAGAGCAATGTAAATCAGCATCAAATCAATAATCAATGAACAAACAAACATCTCCTGTCCTGATAAACTCACAGGTGCCTGGCATGCTGGTCATGGAAGAGGAGCAGAGCTCAATGATGCGGACGGCAGGCTGCCCGGCCTCCAGTGGGGGAACCGTTATCAGGGAAATCTGTGGAACAGCAGCACACAGTGAAGCAAATCACAAATCTGCCCCCGTACAACACTGCATAAATAAAACCAACAAAGATAAAAATCAATTACATCAGCAGCCAGGTAACCGGCTGGGCTCATAAATAAATTTCACAGGAGTTTGTATGCGAATCCCTTCCCTCATTTGAAAACAGATGATCTATGGAAGAAAACAGCGTGGAATAATTAGGCTTACACAATGTCGAGTCCCAGTCCAGGCATTAAAACAGCCAGACAAACAATGGAGGGTCAGCCTATGAGACCGGCAGAAGCAACTGCTCCCAGTCAGAGACTGGCTTCCAGACGTGTTTGAAGTCTCAACAGTTCAAAAACAGAACTAGCAAGATCTAAAGCAAACGCTGAAGCAGATTAGAGAATTTTAGGTCTTAGTTTTCTATAGTTTTGCTTTTGTTGCTGTTTAAAGAGGGGACACATTGCTCACTTTAGAAATGAAATTGGAGATAAATTGAAATGTCTTAGTTGAAAACATCAACATGGAAAGAGCACAAAAAGCAAACATCTGAGCAAAGGCAAGTCTGCACATTTAATCTGGGAACATCCACATGCTGTCATTTAGAAGGACGAACGGCTAATTAAAAATAGACTGAATATTTAATTACATTTTGTCAGACCACCTTGGAATATTCAATTTCCACAGTATGTCAAGAAACAGAAATTAATTTTCTGCTTTACTTTCTCCCAGCATAAATTAAATTAGCCTTTTCTCTTTTTTCATATGAAAAACCTAAAACAAATATGATTTATGACACAGCTGAAACTATTAAACTACAAAGAATCCCCATAAAGGAAGTATTAACTTTAAGTTCAATTGAAGAATATATTATCCACGTTTTTCTGCTGATGTATTCTTTTTTAATATGTTTTTATTTTATTGTTTTCCATTTCTACATTCACACAAATTATAGTTAATCACAACCTATATCGTTGTGTCAAATACAGGTATGTTAGCTTCCATTCTGCTCAGATAAAATTATGCTTGTGATAACATTCATCAAATACTAAACCAATTATGGGAGCAATATAAAAAGACAATTCAATGAAACCCATTTTAATACAAAAACTTGAACAGGTACAATAAGTATAGCAGCATGTCCTACATTAGCATTGACTTCTTTATTTAAGGCTAATCCACAGACAAAATATTATAATCTTGTTAATTGGACACGTTTAAAGTGAACCATGTTTTCTTAAAAAAATGCTGCAAATTATAGAATATATTTTGTGCACTGATGAGCTGGTCATAAACTACTTTTTGATACCTGCTGATCAGACTCCGCCCTCAACAGTGATCGATCGGTGATGAGAACTGCTCGAGAAATGTACCTGTGAACACATCAGATGACACAAAAATCACTTATTACAAAGAAAATCAAATGAGAAATGCTTGAGCAAGATGCCTGTGAAAATGCGGAACACAAATTACAATACAGACAAAGCACAGCGCAGAGGATCAGCTGCCAATTAGGTAACTCAGATGTCCTAAGAATCCCCAGCTGCTCAAATTGTCAGACGTATTTAAAAATTACACAATCAACTTGAGTGTTTTCATAAAGAAATCTTTAACACATTTTGGCCATCGTAGTGGTTACTCTTTGCTCTTCTATGGAGTGTCCGAGGCCAGGAACTGAATATTAATTACAGGTTTAGAGAACAGTCTTGCGTTTCAAAGGCGGTATGCACTTCAACATGACACCTAGTATGCCAATAATGACTAGCAGTTAGTTTATCCCAACATATTGCATTCTAGACATTAATGTGTTAAAAAAGTACATCTTTGTTATCACTTGTACTGAAGAAAATGAGAACAGAATTCAAGCAGGTCATTAGCAGGAAGAGCAAGTGCTATAAAAACTGAAGAAATAGGTTTAAATGTGAAAATTTATGGATGTGATAAAACCCCAAAGAATGAGAACATTAAAAAAAAGGTTTAACCTTCAGGAGTTGAACAATATATTCAAGAGCTGCAGTATTTAATTCAACAGACAACAATACAAGCATCTCAGCCTCTTTTAATTGATTGCATACTCAACAAATTAAAATACAAACCTAAGGGGGATGTGTTAAGTTAAGTGCTTACTAGAAAACATGCACAGTAAATTTCAGTGGATCTAAAAAAATGCTCAGTTTGGTTGGTCAAATCACTTAAATACCATAAAAACAGTCTTAGAACTATTTCAAATAACCTAAATGGTGTTATTTAAAATAAGTCCATCACAACAGAAATATCAGGATTCAACAAAGGTTAAACAAGATAAAAAATCTCTATAGCTCTTTAAAAACTTGTATCCAATAAAGTTAAGAAAAATGTTTGAAAATCCTTTCATCAACTGACAATTGGCAATTAAACAACATCTAACTGTAAGGAAAAAAAACAAATTCATTCCTAATTATCTCTCATAACAGGAACAGATACAAAGTCCCTCCTTTGTTGGCACTGACTGGTTTGGATACAGACCTGACTACCATGAAAATAACCTGAAACTTTTCAAATAATGTAATTTTCCTAAATCAATTTTTGGAGTCTTTTCAGTAATGGTATTCTTGTAACTTCCATCGGTTACCAAAATACAGGATTACATGAATTGGTGGCTGAACTGCGTTTCAATTTTGTGTCTAATTTTACCCTTATGTTATCTTTTTGGAAGTGCAGCGATTTTTAAAAATACAGCATAAGTAACACAAAGAGGAGATATGCTTCATTGATTTCTACACTTGTTAAAACTGTCTCAGGGAAAAACAGATGACAAAACACCACAAGATAAAGGGAACCTAAATAAGTTATTTTGAGGGCAATTGTTTCAAAATATTTCTCAACTCCGGGCTGAAGGTGTGTGATTATGTAACAGCCTCAATAAAGCTGTAGATTTTAATACTACTTTTCTTAATATCTGGAAAGATTTACTGTGAGTTTAGGTTATTCATTACAGACCCCTTGAAATCCTGCTTATCATTACCAATGTCCTAACCAATCCTAGAGACACCTTTACAAGGCAGTCTTAATGTTAGGAAAATTAATGCATCTTAAGGGCTGATATGTAATAATTTTACCTCCAGGTAACCTTTAAGATAATATGATGATAAATACATGTGACCACGTAAATGCCACAATGGAAAAATATCGCTTTGTCAATTACTGAACAAAAGTTCCAGTGCATGTGATTGGATACAGAAAACCGTTAAATGGTGCCTGATGGCTTAGGAGTTTTATGTGGCAGAAGCAATAATTGTAAGGCAGCACTGTACATGCAGAGGTCTGCAGTGCGGTTTAACATTTTCAGGTAATAAAAACTTCCAACATTGTCTTTATTGCTCTGCAGCTAGGCAGAGACATGACAGCACTCTTCATTAAAAGAAAATAACCTGAAATAAAAAAATGCCAAATGGAGAACTAAATTAAAAGCCCTTATGGTATGAGAATTTGGAATTTAGAGTTTTACGCAAAAAGCATACATTCGTCTTGCAATGGTAGCGAATGCTCAGTCTTTGCTACAGTCATGGGCTGGAAAGAAGCAAAAGAAGCTTTGTTTGTACTGCACTCACTTGGAGTCAGCTGTTCTTCTCCTGCTTGGAAATTCAAGTAGTGATGGAAGAATGGTTTAAAACAACTGAAAATGTTGATTACAATAAAACACAGCAAGGAATTTGAGCCTTGGGGAGTGTATGCTGCTGGTGGTGACAAAATAATATTTTACTGCTAAGGTGAAAATTAGAAACGGGAACATTTAAGGGAACAGTGCCTCCACTACAAATGACACTATTTTAGTGCTTGACCAAAGTGTAGTTTTCTTTATACAAGGTGTGATAATTAAATTTTATTTAAACACTGCTTTTTGCAGCAACTGGGTCATTTTATTAGGTTTATTAAATATATCCATCTTAAAATGACAAAATTCAGGTGAAAAACATTTTAGGTATTGGATCTTGTAATCATCACATTTCATTTAAAAGTTTGCTTACCTTAATATCTCATCTGAAACAAACTACCATTTATTTTAAGCATATATTTAGATATCAATATCAGTCTAGACAAAAGGAGCTGTTACTTTAATCTTGGATTACAACCTTGCGTCTACTGTCACACTGAAAACAGTGGTGGGACAAGGGGCTGAAATAGCACTCATTAAAGTTGCTCACCTGTACTGCACATTTCTGAGCCGCTCCTCTGTCAAATAGCCATCTTCTACAATGAAGTGACTGCAGCCGATTCGCTGTCCATTTGTGTCAATTACAGCTTCACATCTAGAAATGTAGAAAACAGTATTTGTAGAGCAATGCTTGAACTTTTCATTACAGCTTACTGTTCTCACTCTTAAGTGCTACAAAAAGAAACAGGAACAGACCACTTAAAGGTCAATTTTAAAGAATGTTCACCACTTGTCATATATCGAAACAGTGAGTGTGATTCCACTGCTGGATCAGAGCAGTGAAGTGAAAGATAGAATTAGGACAAGGAGTGTAATATGATTTCTCATAAAAAGTTACATAAACCTAACACTGACCTTTGAGAGTCTAGGACCTTAGAAAACATCATCTGGGATGATTCAATGAATTAACCAAACTGGCTGATTCACTTAGCACTATAGACACATTTTGCGAACAGAGGTGTGCTAGCACAAACCAGATTGAGCTTTTGCTGCTATTTGTTTCCCCACGCACTTGGTGAGAATCTTACGCATCACGTAGGCATTTACAGCCTCAATCATTTCACTCCTTGCCCTCTAAAAAAACAACAATTAAATACATTAACTACTCAATAATGGTTTTCTTATTAACTCTAAAAGTAAGACTAGCTCAGTAAATTAACCTGCAAAAACCAGGAGGCTTTTTTAGGTACTGTTTATTAAGAGCAGGAAATGATAACGCAGAGCAATTTTCTAGGATTTCTTAAATTCATAATATACATCTGGGTCATAATCAGCACTGGCTGAAAGACATGTGATTAAATGAGCGCTCATCCATGCAGTGCTTCAAACAACACAAGGTGTGGCAGCCAGGAATGAGAAAGCACCACACTGTCATACATCCAGCAAACAAAAGCATCACAAAATGATCTAGCAGACAACAGACGTACAGTACAGAAAATAAGTGCAGGTATTTGGTCTGCCGAGTCCTCCTTAATCCTTGCTGTATTCTCAGGACAGATAAAAGGTCTTTTCAAAAACAACAACAACTGATGAGAAAATCCTGCTACCAGTGAACCCAGATTGGGTTTAGTTTCCTTAGAAAGCAGTACTGCTTGAGAGAGTGCACTGTCTGATAATCAGACTTATTTGCTCATTTGTACTGAAAACCCTTGTGCTCACTTCTAATGTGTTACCTAGTGGAGTCCAGAAAAGAAAGGTGTGAAGATACTCTGCATTTCTCAAACATGAACCATGAGCACAGGCTCGCTGATGACCTTCTCTCAATGTGCCTTAGATTAAAAGGTTGAATGGTAGAATCTGTCTGCTTGTTATGTCAAGAGTTATAAATGTGCTTTATAGGGCTCATTATCCAAACTAATGGGCTAAGGGTGACATCCTTGAAATGGACTTCACAACACAATAAAGGCAAGCACACAGTAGCAGGGCATAATACTTTACTGACGAATTGACTGTTTATGCAAATTAAGATTTATTTACTTGGGTGTCCCAATCCAGACTGACGTATCTCATCAATCCAAATGTAAACGGATTCGATAGGGCCGACTTCTGCCACCAGTGCTCACACCACAGTACAGATAAGAGCACTACAGATACCGGATATTTACATACATAATGGTTTATTAGTTTAAGGCCCCAGCACTAAACATTATTTTCTATAATAAAGCTACAGCAGAGGGCAATCTCCTACATCAAGGCTACTCTGCCCATTAATATACTGTATGCAGAAACTTTTCACATATAGAACAATCAAAAACCACATAGAACAAGGGGTCATTTTTATGATTTGAACTTGATGTACTTGTTAGGACACCTTCTTGTTGAACCTCGCTAACTACACAAAATACTTTAAAAGGTTGAATATTTTTTCACACTCACAGGGTTTACATTTAGTTAAAAAATTCCAGAATTTGAATTTGCCTGCATGGCATGAAATAAAATACCTTCTTCAGACAGAAGTTCACCCACCACTGGGAGCTCTGCAGAGGCAACAATTGTGGTTATAATATATTCATATTAAAAAATATTATAATAAGAAAACAGTTTTCTTGAGATAAACCATGGTATTGGCTTCAACAACAACAAACTACCCAGCCTAATATCATGGTTTCTTTCAAGAAAAGGCTACATGAGATCCTCTGATCAATTACCAACTACCAAACAGGATAGATGGCAAAATGGTCGCCTCTTGTTTTTTAACCTCTGTTAAGTTTCTATGAGATATTTATAAGAAACCCTTGTCCAGGACCAGCTCATAAGCTCAGGTTTCAAGATGGTAGTGTCTTGTTGCAAGTTCAGTCCCCTAACCCTTATTCCTGTTTCAGACAAATAGTTAAAACATGCATTTCAAAAGGAGTCTCTGTCAATAGAATGATCCACACTCTTTGAGACAGATTCTTAACAGGATCAAAGGGGACTTTGCCAAACACTTGGCACTTTAGATGCTTTTTAAGAAACTCAGCATCTAATGTGCATCAAACCAAAAGTTGCTGGAAATAAGAAAATATTTTCTTTCCAAAAGCAAAACTGATTATTTTCACTTATTATTACCAGAAAATTAGTTTCACAGTGTAGCCACTTTGATCAGGACATAAGTCAGATAATGAAAAGGGGAAAAAATCTGACCTTTACACAGATATTAAATCATCACATTTTTGCTCCAGCACATTATTGAAGGTACTCTCTGTTTAATCTAAACAGTACCCCTACAATCCAGACATTTTGTTAACTACTTTATTTAATGAAAACTGTGGTCAGCAATTGTCCATTTTAGTAGTTATACATCATTATTGGTATAGTATCTTTGCAGAAAAGCTTTCAGACAAGGAGCTCAATATCAGACTTTTCATATTTAGATGATTACAAAAGGACTTTTTTTAAGTTTATATTTTGGCATGAACTGCAATAATTCTCCAAGGAAACAGAATGAAAATTATTCTCCTTCATGAGAGTGTGTCCTGTTGCCCAAATCTTGACTATGAAGCACCATTTGAATAATGTGGAACAGTGGTTAGAGCTCTAAACTCATACGTCCCTTTGAATAAATACACCAGCCAAATCAAAGACATCATTAATAATAGTAGTAATTTAGAGGCCCACTTAGGGCAAAGAGCATGACACTTCTAACTTTCAGTCACAGTGTACACAGAAAGAATTTGTTAGAACATATTCTCTTTCATTTCATTTTGTTCTTCACCTGTCAGTAAGAAGATGATAGCTCAGATAGAGTTTCATAAAGAGATATACTGTAGGTGCTGCTCCTACTGTACATGTTAAAAACGAATTTTAGTTCAGATAGCTTGACAATGCTGGATGGGAAAAAAACATGGTCACATTCTTTATAGCCAGAATACTTTTTTCCCTCCACATATATTTAGAAATAAAACAAGACCGAATAAAAAAAAAATCATTCAGGGAACACAAAAGTAGGATAAATTACAATCTGGTTGCTTAAAACACAGGTTTTATGGTCTGTTAACTGCATAGTTCAATACTAAATACTGCAAGTAGACTGTAAAAGAAGCCTTGCAGACTTCAATAAAAAATATCATAAGTCTGTTCATTTGTGTTACCCTGAAATATTCCAAGCAAATTCTTTCACAACAAGAGCATATAATCAATTTGAAGCTTGTACTTTGAATATAAGAACAGAAGGCTGCTAACAAGACACTTTAACCCATCTTTCACATTTGGTATTTTGGTAATTAAGCAAAATTAATTAAGTAAAATTAAGCAATTTTAAAATTTCACTTTGAGTTTCTATTTTTTTAAGTAAACCATAGATTGGGCCTCAACCCCCACTTTGTGTATATATATATTTCCTATTAAACTCTCTGTAATTAATTCCCTTGTATTTTCTACCTGGTATCCTATGTCCTTATTTTGCTAACAAGTCTGAAATCATCCCCTAGGCTGACTCTATGTTTTTAAGATATTATATACTCAGATCAAATCTCCTCTTAATCCTCTTTCGTTATAATCTGTGGTGATTTTGTTTCTATAAAAAGTCTGTAAATTGTTATTCTTCCAGATCAGGAATGATACCTTTTTCAAAAATATTGTGACCAAAAATTGCTATTACTATTCCAAATGCTGTATTAAAGAATTGGAAATCTTGAGCTTATCTATCTTGAATTTAAATTTCCACACTTTTTGCCATATAATAAAGCATGACATGTTTTTTTTATTGCTTCACAAGATTGTTTTGATGTGGATTTAGAAGAATCTACATAAACACACAGGTCCGTGTCAAACACAGATTCCTGAATTATTGTTTCTACTTCTAGTGTGGATCACTTCACCTTGAAGTGTAATTTACCAAGCGTCTGACCACTTATCACTGCCCATGATTTTGTCTTAGAATTTTCTTTTTGGAATTTTCTTGCTGCTGTTCCTGTTTTAAGCTCTACCCCTATTTTATATCATCTGCAAATTTAATCCAAATCTAAACCATTGATATAGATCAGGAAGAGCAGGGTCCTAAATGAGATTCTTGCAACACACCACTTTACACCAGACCTTAAATCATAGATCATGGCCCTTTCTTAGTTATAAGCCAGTTCTCAGTCCTGTACATTACCTTTGAATTATCACACACACACAGAAATCTCTCAAGAGGAATCTTGTTACTTATGCAAATAATTCCAATAAGTAAAACAAGATTTAGCTAACTACTGTTTTGAACCAAAAGAAGTATGACTTAAAACTTTGTTACCTGTTGCAGTTTTATCCCTCTTTTAGTGAGCAAGTATTACATTTGAAATTCTACAAATGGTTACAGCTCCTATCTTTACTGACTGTTGAAATATCCTGGTTACGGTTCTATGAATAGTATCTCTCATTTCCTTAAGTACAACTGGGAAAATATCATTAGGAACTGGCATTTTAATAGTTTTACGCTGTCCTGATCCCTCTAAAATCTCAGTATTAGTTATGCTAAAATCACTCTGTTCTGATTAAATTCTTTCTGTAATACATTCTTTTGTAAAAATCTGCATGAAATCATAATTTGGCACCTTTGTGATTCCTTTGTCATTCTAATATTAATCTAAATTTCATTGTCAACAATTTACTTCCCTTTTCATAGTTTTACTGCTATAATAATTAATACTTGCTTAGATTTGTACTGTACAGTACATTGAATCCCAAAGGATCTCAAAGTGTTTTACATTTAGAAGGGCCCCACTTCACCCACCACTGAAGTACAGTACCTGTCTGAATTACAAGGTACGCATTACATATTAGCAGTTCCAATACACAGAAGGTCAGATGGAGAAGTGAGAAATTACCTGACCAAAATAAAACATTTTTGCAAACCCAGAGTGGAATTTAGCCAGGATACCAAAGTCAACCCATTGCTTCTTTGAACAGATCTATGGGATATTTAATGATATCCTGAAGTCAACATACTGGGGCATTGGCTTGAAATATCTGCTCCATGAAGTGGTCCACCAACACCACATAAAGCAGCAACTGGTTTTTCATTAAGGGGTCTTCATTGCAGTACTGACCAGACTGAGCTCTGCCTAACTTCTGATATACAGTATGACCAGATCAGGCTACAAGTGATAAAGTTATTAAGTTATACTTTTGAACAATGTACTTTTGAAAAAATGTTTTGCAGTTTTTGCCCCATAACAATTTTAATTTCCTCTTTTTTATTTGAGATTCTTGTAGTAGCTAGTAATAGTAGAGTGCTTTTTAAAAAGCAGCTTATAAAAAAACTGGGTTAGAAGGAAAAGAGTAACTATTTCAAGCATATCAATTCCAGCTTATATATTTCCCATTGCGAATTTCATTCATACCCTGTCACTTTTGCTATATCCCTTCCTGATCTCATTCTAAACTAAACTGTTTGGCTAAAATAATTCATTCTAATTAAATTTAAACTATTCACTGTTTTAGTCCATTACAAATGGAAGGCAGTAGCCCACTTTAAAAACTCTTTAGAAAAGAGACCCTGTAGTATACAGATTATCCAAACAAAAATGTCAAAGTTTATTTGCAAAAACCTCGAGCTTCTGAAATTTTACGGCACTAATTTTGACCATGACTTCTTTAGAATGCCCGATCTCATTCAAACTTGGTTAAGACTGCTCTAGAAAAAAAACAGGAGGAAACATTCTACATATTCTCCACAGTAAGCAACTACTGTACTCAATCAATAACTTAATAAAAAATGCAAATCTGCCTAAGACTCAACCTGCAGCACGCAAACCACAAAGATGCCAGCCTCCTTTTAGGTTTGCGATGCCCTTAACAAAAGCGCTCTGAGGCTGGAATTTGCCACTTGCATTGCAAACCCAGGCAGGGTTCGGAGGACAAACTGCAGTGTCCTCAGTTGCTCCTCACCTGGTTAGGAGTAGTTAGTGGTGGATGTCCATGCCGTATTCATTTCCTTCTACCCTTTTCAGCTTTTATGTACATAATAAGAGAAGACATACGGGGGTAATTTATGATACCTGGAGAATTAAAATCATCCTGCGACCTAGACACCTTGCCGTTTTTTTCCCACATTTTCCAGCTCTTTCAGTAGATGAATAATAACCCCAGTGATTTCCTTATGGTGCTGCACCCCAGAATGAAAAAAGATCCATTTAATCATTTTTTTTTATTAACGCTGCGGTTAATCTGCACTATCTGACATTTTGTTTCTTTAGTCTAAACTACAGCCTCAGCCATGGAGCTTCAAAGACGAACACAGAATCTGGAGGGGTAGCAGTTTCCGACGTTCAATAAAGTCATAATTGCAAGACGTTTGGAAAAGAAGTTGCTAAGCTAAGACCAAACCTATGTGCTTATGCTTTCAGGCCTCTTTTTAATTAAAAAAAAATACAAGATAAATGGTGTAGGAAGTAAGGTGACTTAAAAAAAAGCTGTACACATGATCAAATGTCTGAGCTTTCACAACTGTCTTATGTTGTGAAATAATTGATATCCTATTTTCCAAGCTCACATTTTCAATAAAAATATTACTAAAGTGAATGACTTGTCTCTAACCAAGTTTTTTTCTCTTAGCGATATGGACTAAAACTACTTTAAACTTCAAAATGAAGCACAAGCCGAGCTCTATGATTGAGAACCTATGGGCTCTAGCCTGGATCATGTTGCTAGTGGACCGATTCCCCAAGCAGCAATGCACAATTGGCAGAACACTACCAGGGGAGGGTTGGGATTAGTTGGCTAAGGCTATCTCAGTCGCCAGCAACACTCCTGCAACTTCCCAACTGACATTAGTAAGAGATGCGCCCCTCTTCCAACTGGACCTGACACTCACGTAAGGTACTATGGAGCTTACGTATCCGAAAATAACATCTGCTTTACTTTTCTAAAATTTCACATAAACACACTAAATATCTTACAGTCTGTGACAAATCATACCATATTGGTCAGTTAAACACCTAACGCTTTCCATCAGAGGAAGGGATAAGAGGTTTTTGAGGACTCTATTCTCAACAAAAACATTCCCAGACATCTACCTCGTAATCCCAAGTGTGACATTAAGATTGTTAGCCTGGGGTCAACCACTGTAAAGATGAAAGAATTTATCTTTTCAGTAAAAAGAGGGCTAACCTAGTTTATGACAACAATCTACCTTAAAACTCATTAAAGCTCTTTCTCTCGAAATGACATGCATTATCAGCAGTGATTAATCTGATGAGACTTTAGGTGAACTCATTTTTTTTTTAAATGCAGTAACAGAGGGCTTTTTTGTCTTCTGATGAAAATCAATTAGTGTAGGTAAGGCCACAAGGAAAACTAACATCACTCATCACTAGGCCCCTGGCAGCCGAAATGATTTGTCTTCCAAGCTTGGCTGATCAGGAGCTGTAGCCCTATCTCAAGAAAATTAATTTCGTATCTATATTCTGGGCCCAGTTTCCTTGTTTGGAGGACCAATACACAAATTACTTTTAATCAAGGTTGATTCCCAATTACAAAGGAGGACAAAAGGCTGAAAAAAAGGGCTTCTATCATCGCTGGACAAAACATTTTTTTCTTCTTGGCAAGAGCCCTGTGAAAGCAGGGTCAAATGCACGGTACTCACCTCCCTGACTCCTTGTTCACCACCAAACACTGGACAGAATGCCGAAGACAGTATATTCCACCAAAAACTGCACACATCCTGCAAGAAACAGAGAAGAAGAAAGGCAAGTTGAGTGTACAAGATTTGTGCAATAACTTCATCTAAACATTTTTCGTGTCACGGGTGATGCTCCAGCGATGTAGACAAATTTACAATATACTGTACAGAAAACTTTAAGGTGGGTATAATACACCATTTTGTTATTTTTTACTTCCTACTAGTATACAATTGAAAACATACTGTACCATTTTCTTTTAGTTGTGGAGAACACATTTCCTAAAGACAGTCAGGATTGCTATGTAAACTGTGGTATTAACAGCATTTAAAAATGTATGATGCGTATAAATGAAAGGCCTTAACTGGAGTAGGATGTAGGTACCTGCCTGTTCTTTATAGCAGCTGCTAGTACCTATTTTATTTCCGTTCTTTCTTTTTTCAGCATCTTAAGTTTCTTCATAATATTTTATCAAGAACATCTTTTGTTGTGGGACACTTTTTTTAATTAAAAAAGAACAACACAAGATAATGCTAGCATGGATGCTTTCACCACAGGGAAGTGCAATATTTAATTAAATATGCACAGCTTCTCTACATTTTATAAAACACAAGGTGCTCTAAGTGATTCAACCAGGAGAGAGACTTTCAATTCAATTCATTTTTATATAGTGCCTTTCACAACAAGGTTGCCCCAAGGCGCTTAATAATACAATTGACGATACATTTTGTCAATACAGAACAGAAGACTTTACTGATCCACTGTGGTTCTGAAATTCCCAGTTCCTGTCTGGGTCATGTTTCTAGCTAGCCGGGTTTTGCAAAGCAGGAGTGCAGCCCCTGGATCAGGATGGGGTTGGGATTGGGATTGGTCAGACAGGACCCCCATGACCATGTTGAGCTCCTACAGTCTTGCAGTGGTGTCAGTGAGAAATGTTATGCTCTTCCAAATAGCACTAATTCCCCATGGTTAACGCACAGCTCCAGACGTGGGCATGTCAGAGGAACACGTCCACACGAGTCTTAGTCTCTGAGCAGGTTCAGGGGTTGCAGCCATAAAATAGAGCCATATACTGTACAACTGATCCGACCGACTCAGTTTTGGGATACAAATACCGAGTGGTGCACCACATTATCCAGTCACCGAAAAGTTTCCAAAGAATAAAAATTTCAGATAGGACTGAGTCCTATATGAGTCCTATTACGCACTGAGTGGGAATGAAAATAATACATTGTGTTTCTGAATTTAGGAAAAAAAAAAAAGATCTGTATAATTTGTTTTTATACCAAGAAGAACAGGTCTCCAGCTAAAGCCTGGAGCGAGAATGTCTCTGGAGATGTTTCACGTATTTTTCACGATCACATTATCTGAAGCGGATACAGCACAGTAGTTACACCTGATTCTGTTAGCCCATGATTAAAAAAATGTTTTTTAATGTTTCAAAAAATGCCACTCTTCCAGTAGTAAACCTGTGATATCCCAACACCCTTTGTGATACATGATCAAAAATAAGTCCTCCTTAGGTTACCTTTACTGTTGCTATTTCTAAGATTACTAAATGTATTTAATGTATTTGGTGATTTGTACAGAGTATGTTTGATCGCCAAGACAACAATGAGCAAACCCTTCTAGCTAAAAGAAGCACTTAAACCTTGCACTGCACCAGCTGTTCAAGCACTCTGCCTCTAACACTTGAATGCAGGAATGACCCCAGGCTATAGACTGGATGGTCGGAAAAGGGCTGTGTCGCAGGTTTTTGGTTCAGGACCTGGCATTGCCATTATCTTACAAAGCAGTAGCCTAAGGAAATCACAGAAAATCTCTGTGCTCCTTCCTTCTTGTAAAACCCAAGGTCTTGTTTTAAGTAGCTGCAACTGCTACGGATATTCCACCATTAGTCTCTGCAAGTTTCTTTGGTTAAAACAGTCTGTTAAATTATTACATTTTGTGAGATGTGAAGCTACAGAATAGAGCGCTTGCTTGAAGTGTTAAACACAAATGCTTTGATAAGGTACTGTGCCTGCCACTGAGCCTTTTAGGATCATGTATTGCTTACCTCGTTTGCTCTGTTTCTGATCATGTATTTAGTAGTACTGCGGGCAGAACACAAGAAGAAAGCTGGTGACCATTGAAAAGCTTGCCATGCCACACTTTCGGTTCTGGGACTGGCAGGGGAAGACAGACAGGAATGTTTCACCCCGCCCTGCATGTAGAGTATACCTGTCTGCATCCCACCATATTAATTATGAGACATGACATCTTAATAAAGTGGCTGGAGTAAAATCTTAAGCAATCATCAAGTCAATCTAATGTCCTTACAATAGGCCATTCAGGCAATTTGGCCTTGATGTGGAAAAACCAGGGAACCCCCTTTGATGCCATTAACCCTAAATGACAGACGTTTTAACTGATATTACTCTAATTAACTGGCTGCTGTCTTCAACAATGATGCAATTTTTGTCCCCTGAAAGATAACGCCGACACTGCTATTCAGATTCACCTTTGCCCTGGTGACATCAAATCACATTACTGCTAAATTAACAGTTGTGAAAATTTCAGACTTCGCAGCCCACAGCCCTTTATAGCCTTTAAATGCCATTTCAGTTCCTATCACGGCAGGAATCAGGGGAATGTGATTTTTTAATACAGTGGCAAAACAATAGAACCCATTAATAGCCGAACTTTTGACAGCGCTGTTGCGATGATTTATGAGTTTGTGTATAATTTGATTATTCTATTAATTCCACTGATTACTGCTCTGGCTAATGTGTTGAAGGTCACATCCAAAATAAATCTTCATTCCATCCCCATATTAACCCAGAGAAAATAACTGCCTCTAACTAGTTGTTTCTGTAATTAAAAGGTAATGTAACAAGAAGCAAAAATAGGCTTGGGGGCTTTCGTATCACCTCCTTGAAATACCTCTTGAAACAAACAATGCAGTTCTCTTAATGCTGGTGGTGGCATGATTTAAATTGAACAACTTGCAGGAATGTTTTCATTAAGATTATTCAATTTCTTGCACTATATATTCGCATTTTCTTCGTTTTTTTGCTTGCATACAGATGTAGCCCTAATTCTGTAAGAGAATAGTCCAGGCCGATCGACTTCATTTTCTTTTTTAAAAGTCAAAATAAAAGAGCCATTAGGTCCAAAAGTGCAATGATGGAACAAAACAAACAAAATTGATCATGGCTAGGTTCAAATTAAAAGTAATGAAGTACCATAGCAACAAAACGGCATTTATAAAACGGAATAATGGATGTGCCGCGGTTTTTTATATGTCTAAAAGTTATTACTGTGTTTGCCACCAGTTTATTGCTACCCTCTGTTTGCCCAAGCGTACTTAAAAATTACCTTTTAATAACTGCGGTCAGCAGTAGCGCTGGGCCTACTTAACACAAAGGTGAAAGCAGCTGTCTCGTCTTTCACTCACCCTTGCATTCAAAGTTTGCTGACAGTAGTGTCATGGAAGAAGCCCATGCCAGCATGGATGCTATGAACTACACCCAGGCGCTCCTACACCTAAAGTCCAGTTTTGTAAGCAGATCACTGCTATGGAGCAGCTTTATAGTGTAGGCTGTTGAGGTGGATGTACTTATACTAAAAAGTGCACCGGAGTATACAAAGTTTGCAAAAGCAACCAGGTGTTTTAAAAACACATGAGCCTGATGCATAATTACATCTGACCTGAAGTTTATCACTAGGTAATCTACAAAGTGGTATGTGTTTGTAAGTTTCCTAATAAAGATAATAGATTTTTGTTACTAAGTTTCTTGTTGTCTTTAATATATTTATAGCAAAACAGGAATTTAAAAGAAGCATTTTGACATGTGCCTGATAACAGTATGATTAACTGTATAATCTGGACATCAGCCTCATGTTCCCTATTTTAGCAGCCGAAGATTCTTGATTGCTGAAGCAGGCTGACCTGCACAAATGTCCTCAATCAGGTGCTACATCTGCCCACTGGCCACTCCTTATGATGACGTTTGGCTGCTGTGATAAAAAGTGAGACTGGTAAGAGAATGCCTCAACAGTGGAGGACAAAAACATTGATTATTACTGTAACTGACTGGTTGAATTTCAGTATACAAGAAAAAAATGTAGGATCCTTTTAAAAAATGTCTGCAGTCTCTGATTGGGCTAAAACATGCAAAAATGCAGAACAGAAACTGATCAGACGCACATCATAAATTGGTAAAGAAAACAGCATGTTTTAAGAGTGGTTTTAAATAAGAGCTGTAAGACTGGTGAAATATTAACTTATGCTTGTCTACTCTCTGAGCTACTCAATATCCAATTTCATTTCAGGAGTTGGATTTCAAACAGGATTCTATAAACTGATAAAAACTGATAATTAGGTGGAATGGACCATAATTTACTGTTCCCCTACAAGAAAAAATCCAGAGATAAAAACCTCCCCTGTGATGCAGTTTTCAACTTCAGGTTATGGTTGTTACTTTCTAATATATCCTATGGTTCTGAGATGTCTTCTGCAGGCACATAACTAGGCAATAAATAAGATCTTAAAATAAAGTAAGCATACAAACAAGAACCAAAGACAAGTAGCACACAGATTAAACTATAACCCCAACAGAAACAACTTTCACCAGAACACCACATTTCCTGGCAGATTGGCAATGCTCTAATGTTCACAAATGTGACCTGGAGTTCAGAATAACGCTTTTGTTTCACACAGCAAGAAAGAAACAGATGTTAACCACACTGCTGATTCAAAGCTCACTGCTACTTTAAAAATGGCACAATAGAGAACATCTCAACCATGTCTTTAAACACATGAATAAAATATATATTGTCAAATCAAACATCCACCTCTGAAATTAACACAAAATTGTTCAAAATTCTCTAATGAATAAACGTCAAATAACCATTACATACCTTCCTGCAAAAGTGGGATTTTCATTAAAAAACGGCAATAATCATTTAGCTGAAAAATACCTAATAAGTACAAAAAAACTCAAGACCATGAGAACAGACAAGAAATCAAAGCCTTGGGAAAGCCTCTCCAATGATTACACAGAGTTTGGTGAGCTCAGAGGGTGACAGACTTCATTTTATTGCCTCAAGGGCATCTGCAACTACTTTTACACTCAGAAATTTACTTAAAGTGAAATCGATGAGTTGAGCACACAATGTTTTTGTTCTAAAATGACCAAGTGGATTTGTTTTTGCCTAGAGCAGACGATTGTACCCTTACACAATTCCATTTGTGATTTTGGACAAAATCTTAAGTACTATTAAAACAGGTTCTATTAAACTGTGTTCTGTACCTTTAGTGTGGTCTGTGAATACAGTAGAACAAAGCCATGAGGCATACCATTGTTTTATTTTGACAAATGTTCACGTTATTTCACAATTAACACCATTTCTAGTTTAAGACCCAAAAAGACATAAACTTACTAGGAGCATTGTAGTAATTAACTGCTTTACAATTACTCCATGTATCAGTAATAAATTACAGTGCACAATTTAGATCCTGAACAAACAGAATTTCTGCTTGTACATAGTGACTATCAATTAGGTTCATTATTTGTAAACACACTAATAATAATCTTGCAAGCAGAGCAACAGAATAGCTTGTAAACCGTGGCGAGTCATTTAAAGAAAATGATGGTGGTTTGTGTGGTTTCACAGAAATTAAATCCAATTTCATTCCTATAAATTAGACATATCTTTATTACTGGAAAAGGCAGGTAAGATGATATACGATCCATATAATCACGCATCTTCCTGCTAATAAATGAACATTACCTTCTCAACAATCCATTTAATTTCCCCTGCTGCTCTAGGATGACAGCATTAAAAACAGAGCCGTTTGTCTGATTGGGACATCATAATCTGCCATGCAAATTAGAGCACAAAGTTACGGCACAGTGACATGCTTTCGCAAATGAGTTATTCCCAATCGCCAGCTTCTGGGGGAGAGGAGCTACTCCGCAAAAGGTTATTTACAAATTAAAAAGTCTTTTCCTGTCAAAACTTGAGAAATAATACAGGCAAGGACACAAAAGCATTCCATAGCTTTATTAACAGCAACGCTCACTGATCTGTGAATAACCTGAAAAAATGAAGATTATTGAGTTACTTTCCCCATCTATCCATCCATCACTAAGGAACAGGTTTCAAAGTGATGGATTATCTCACCTCCTCGCTGTTTATCCAAGTGCAAGTCTCTCCTCAAGGGAAGAACAAACAAATGAAGCACAAACATTATCAGGCTCTTGCTGCTTTATGCAGACGCCAGGATCCTGGGATTGGGCCCCGATGTATTGGGGAACCCTGGAGTACTTCGACATTTCTCCCACCTTTTCATTGGCGACCAAAGCATGGGCGTCTCATTTGGTTTGATTTCAACAGTTTTTTTCTTCTTGCATTTATTTAAATAAAGGACAGCACTTGTTTCTGTAAAATACACAAGTGCAGTTATCTGAAATAACTGCCGATCTATTTTAATTACCAAGCCCACTTTGCTAAGGCTGGTATTTACAGCGGTAATAATTGAAAGCGATTGCTTGTCAGTGCAGTTTCATTTGCGTTCCCACACAGTCCTGTGTGGGGGTATAAGGGACTTCGACTTCAGTCTCCTTATTAGGCAACTAATGCTCAGAACACATGAGGAACCAATCACTTGCAAAAAATAAAAGGCTCATAAAATAGGTATAAAATTAGCAAAAGATCAAACTGCATTTAGCTTTTATGTATGAGAAAAAAAGGAATGTTTCAATAGCTTTTCAAAATGAAACTCTTTAGTAAAAAAGGTCCTAAAATTCATTAACCAACAAATGACAATAATTTATACTTAATTATATATTATTTCACAAACTGAATATTTAACCTTGTATTGACTGAAAGCCATAAAAGGTGCAACCTTGATTGCTTAAGGAAGCACGCAATTTAGCACTGATATTTCTGCAACTACACTTCGCTCCACTGAAAGGAGGAAGACTTATTTCTACAAACCAGGAAAAATCATTTATGAAGTTATTTCCCTGCTGACTCCAAATCAATAGGCACCAGCAGCAGGTCTCAGCTGAGCTTTACAAAGGTCACTGAATGTTCTACTTAACAGTATAAGTTAAATGTACAATATTGTGGATCCTGGCAGGTATTTAAAACACAGTTAAATGACATCAAGACACAGCTATAGGGATGCCAGTCAATGGTAAATCCTCCAGACTTTCAGTTACAGAGGAGACGTCCCAAATGGACTGCAGTGATAAAACACTGTTCAGTGCTCCATTGGAGTGCTGTATGTGGATTGGTTTTCTATAAAAAGCAAATACCTTGTTACCAGGAACCTTGAATTCATTACCGAATTAAGCTTTTGCCAAATTCAGAGACATTATACTGACTCTAGTATGTCCCACCTAAGGTTCATGCAGTTTATATAACATTCCTGCTCCAAGTGTTTGAGTAAAAGGCAACAGAAGCCTTCTTTCAACAGAGCAGCAGGAAAAGACAAAAATGTTTTCAAAGGAGGAGCCATTCAGCCATGCAGGTCTTGGCTATCCCATTGTTTTGATTATTTTAATAGCCTATTCTAGATAGTTCAATAACAATGGACTGGTGAAACATTATTTCACATTTATGAAACTATAGTAAGTGAAAATCACTATCCCACTTCATAGCGTTTGAGCAATGGATAAAACCTGAATTATTTTCCTCATTGTTGCCCATTGAATTGACTTCATTTCATCCTTGCAGCTGCTGCCCATTTTTAAGTTTCAATCATCTCCAAGTAGTACCTGTGCTTGCTTTTCAAAAAATACACCTGGAAAAGTGAAACACCTGAGTGCAGCTTGAGTTTAGGATGTGCATGTGCATTTTCTAGTCTTTCACCACAAGGTATCACAAAAATCATATGATCCATTTCCTAACTGCATTATCCAATACAGGGTCACGAGAAAGCCCGTGTCTATCCTGAGAAGCAACAGGCCCAGGAGCCCTTCTTACCAGCCATAAATTAATATCTGGTATCTCTAGTTTCTCTTCTATCTCCTGTCTAAGGCTAATGCAGCATTTGATAACAATACTGCACCAGTGCGTGTATGAAAAACAGCGGAGCAGCAGGAAATGACACAGCACCTAGGACGGGACACCAGTCCATCACAGGGCACACAGACAAGCACACATCCATACTAGGGCCAAACCTTCCCACAAGCCAAATACCTAGCAGTACGTTCTTGGATTGTGGGAAGAAACCCGGAGGAAACCCCTGAGAACACAGGGAGAACATGCTAAATCCGTGCAGATAACACCCGAGGTGTGGGAATCGAACCCTGGGCCCCAGTGCTGCGAGGCAGCGATGCTAACCATGGCACCACTGTGCCGACCAATTATTATTATAATAACGATCATTCAGAAGGCAAACCCTGTTCAAGTTCTAACCTGCAGAAGCACTGAGGGATTTCTCCGAGCCCGTAGAGAGGGAAGAGGAAGGGGGTGTTTCCATAGCGTCCAAGGCACTGGAGGAAATGCCTCGTGGCTCGCAGACCCTCGGCTGTGCTGTCGGTCTCCGACGCCATGGCAATCGAGTGCAAAACAAAGTGCTGCAGGTTGTCGGTCAGCTTTTTGGTCTGCAAAAACTCCGAAAAAGAGCGGTCCTTGAAATCTAGAACGAAAAAACAAAACAAAAATCATGTTCATGCCACTGATAAGACAGATCTACATGCACTCGGCGAAGCTGGAGACGCTTTAGGCCTTTAACCTGAACGGAGGCCCAACAGGTGACTAATTAATCAAGTTTAAATGTTTGAGATTTATTATAATTTGACATTTGTTCACGCATTGGGCAAACCTGTAGCCTCCATAAAAATAACTAATGGCCTAAGCATCTAGCTCGCAGTCCCTGGGGACAGGACAAGATAAGTTCGCTCGAGAACCGTCAAAACTGTAACCCGCCCTCCTGCAGTTTCTTTGGGGAGGCAGTGTTTCTGCAGCACGTCTACTGACATGATGCATAAAGGAGAATAAAGAAAATAATCTAGACAGGAAAAGAAGAAAAACAAAAGGTAATGGATAAAAATATATTTTTTTAAAACTAGGAAATAAAAAAAGAAAAAAATTAATGTCACTGTTTTTCCTGTTTTATTTGTTCTTTGGAATCAAGAACATCAGTCTTTGGAAAACTTTTAGACTTTTAGAGTTTTAATCAGAGATTGTTGGAATCCTTTATTTCCTTTAGAAGGGAAAACCACAGCTTTGGGCCCTATAAGTGATACTCAGTTATATAAATCAAATCAAATCAAGCCCAAATCAAAACACCAGCTGTGAGCTCAGACCAAGCATCCAGGATATCTACTCAGTTAGGTGTCTGAAGAAGGCCAGGTCCATTCTCAAGGACCCCAGTCATCCCAGTCACAAACTGTTTTCCCTCCTACCGTCTGGTAAACGGTACCAAAGCATTCGGTCCAAGTCCAACAGACTACGGAACAGCTTCTACCTCCAGGCAATAAGACTGCTAAATAGCCAACCTGTAGCTCCTTAGAAAATCACCTGTAATGGCTACATCGACACACAATTCCCACAATATTCAGCATAACTGCACTACATGTATATATTGCATACACCATGGACACATAACAGCTCTACTCACATTGAGTTTTATTCAATTTAAAAAATGTAACTCAATTTTGTGATTTTTGTGTTTTCGTGAAGTTTTGTGATTCTTGTAATTTTTGTGAGCTCGCAGAAAAGGACATTTCATTGCCAGCAACTACTGCTGCACGCCGTATTGTTGTGCATTTGATAAATAAACTTTGATTTGATTTTTGGCAGAGCTTTTACAACAAAAATAATATGAACATCAAATTGGAAGACCTAGTCAAGACCCCAGCTGCTGAGTCCTGCATTATATAGACGGACGTGTGAGCAATTTTCTTCACATCACGCACTTGCAGAAAATGATGAATAAGTGGAAAAAATAAAAACAAAGCTGTTTGAAAGGTAACTTTTCAAACACATCAGTGTTTTACTCACTGCATCATTGGGAGGTATAACGGACCTTTCCTTTCAGAGCCTCAAGAGGATGTATCCACTCAGTATAATTATCTCTACTTTGAAAGTTTTTGAGAGAATAGAAACAGTACCCAAAAACTCTTCGGGATGTTGCTCATAGTCCATACAGAAGGTCAGGAACTTCATTAGCATTCTCTTCTCCACCATAGTCAGCTGTTTGCTTGCAAAGACGTCTGCTCGAGAGCAGGGCACCTAAAACAAGGGATATAGCGAGATATAAAACACAACACGGTTAATACCACATCTTCACAGGTCACGGATTACTGCTGTCTGATTGAGTGTTTATTAGATCACAAAGTCAGGCTTTACCGCGCCTAGAAAGTACAGGAATACAGATGAAGATCGTGTTTCTCTGTGGTCGGTATAGCTGCCATGAAAGGTCTTCCAAAGTCTTCCAAGGGACTTTAAAATTCATTACTAAGGTACCACCTACATCAGTAGACTTAAGATTGCATGTTCTAATGTAGATTTTCACTTGCTGAAGCACACTGCACTGTATGAGGATTTGTGTTGGCGTTAACTACTGTACTTCCAGGTAAAGGAGTTGGAAGTCTCAGGCAATGTGTTGATCCTTCATGTGAAATGTGTTAAGAGAACAACCGGCAAAAAAGCTTAGGGCCCAGATCTGCTACATAAACACACACAAACAAGCATCAACAGCATTCTATAACTGGTACCCAGCTCTCCCTGACAAACCTGTGGACAGTGACAAACCTAGCGCAGTATAGCTTGTCTAGACTACCCTTACTGTCAGCTTGGGCACCCATCTGTCTGAGAAACACATAACGTTATGTAAAACTCTGACCAAAACCAGATACAAAAACACAATACTAAATCACTAATCATGTACTTAATCACAATTACTAAAACACTACATAATAATGCAACAAGTTAAACACTTGCACAGTGATTGTGCTAAGTGATGTACTTCAGAGTTGGGACCACAGGAGAGCAAATCGATAATCTCAGAAGTCTGCCGTCTATATATTTGCGACGGTGTGGAGACGGTATGTTTGTAAGTAAAGTACAAGAAAAAGCCTGAGGCCTATCATTATTCTTTAACCTCACTTTTAAAACAGGGACCCTTGCAACAGCTTCTTCAGTACTGGGATATTCCATGGGTAGGTCTTGCAGAGTGAGTGGTAAGTCATACTACTTCAGTAAAACACATAAGTTATAATAAACCATTTAGATTTTGTAAAAAATGACTAAACATTAATCTGTTCATTACTCAGTGCCCTCCGAGTAATTCACGTTTTATCCACTAGCTAAATGACATTTGCAAAACCTGTTTTGGAGATGGTCTGGATTTGCTGTGCAAATGCTAAAAAATTACTACATTGTACTCTAATTTTCTATAGACAGCTTTAACAGCTTGACACCATATGCCACAGGCTCTTAACTGCTTCCAATGCTTAGAAGGTAACACTATCTCCAGGCCTGTGTTAAGCCACAGCCGGCTCTAGGAAAAGCAAATGTCACTCAATAATCTAATGATAACTACAGTTTTCAGGCTAAAAGGTTAAAAACTGCTGAGTAGGTGACCTCTGAATCATGACCTCAATTTTATAAATGTATGCACGCTTCTGTCTTCTTTTTGGTGTGAACTGTTTCTGTGCTGTGGCTTTGATTCACTTAACAAAGCACCTTGAAACAGGGGAAAAGGCACTAAAACAATAGATTATCAATCAATACTCGACTGTTTTTTTTATTATGTAGCGGTGCAAAGAGTGACAGATGGGAATGTATAATGCACACTGTCGTTTAAAAAAAAAATGAGGAAGACAATGAGAAACTATACCCGACTGCATACCACTGAAACCCAATGTTGAATGTTACACAATTCAAACCCAAGAACCTGAGCCAAAGCATCATTGCTAAATATTGCATCACTTCTTTTTGAAACAAAAATGTCTTATAACATTCCAAGGTGTCAGTTACTCCATCTAATTGCTATGGGCATATGCAACATATGGGAAAAATATTTCTAAATTCAATCATTTTGATAATGAGAGATTTCAGATTACCTTTTCCACCTTTCCATTGTGGTAGGTAAGGATCCTGGTAACATTTTTAAATTCTGCATATCTGCTGACATTGGATTTGACAAGCAGGTCCACTAAGGATCCTCGTGAGTACAGGAGCTGAAAGTTCAGAAGAGAACTGAGAATCAAAGGAAATCTGAAAACAATGGCAAATTTTAAAAGACTACAAAAGAAGCCTTGGTTTACCTTAGAGACAAGGTCAATATTAAATCTTCGTCCCTCTTTGATTAGCTTGGAGTAGGTGATCTTCTCTCTTTTTGGTTCTGCAGTGCTCTGAGGAGGAAGGTTGGGATCCTGCACTGTATCTCCTGCTCCTGGTGTTACTGAAAGCTGGTCAGGGGGCGCATCACCCTCTTTTTTGGGGCTCTGATCCTCAGAAAACCCTCTCTGGCCATTGACATGACTTTGGGGCTGTGGATCGGTGTCACTGGGTGTCTGAAAAGGCTGCTCCTCATCTGCTGTGCCCTGGCTGTCTGGATCGGTTCTGTCTGCAGGTTCTGCAGTCGGGTCATCTCCCCCTCCCTCAGCTACTCCAGAAGCCTTTGTCACAGGAAGATCTGGTTCATCCTTATCCTCAGTCTCCGATTCCTCACTTCCAACCACAAACACAAAACAAAATCCATTTATAACACTATTTTTATCACCATGATACTACGGCATTTTACACCTAAAAATTAACCCGGTTCAGCTTCCACCAACAGGTAGGTGATGTAGGGTAGCCACTACGCACCAGCAGTCCCACTGCACAGCAGATCAGATCAAAAGAGAGACTAGTTTCCACTAACGTTTAGGTAAAAAGTAATCGGCCTTCTTAAATGGGATAGTATGTGCAAGCCTAAAGAGGAAATTAGAAAAAATCCAATCTTAACACGCCTTCCATTTTAAATAGTGTCTTTGGATTTGAATGACAAAGCACTTAAGAGCTTTGGTTTTGAGAAATTAGGGACCTGAAGAAAGAGTGCTGCCTACCGGACTACTAGACGCATTGCTTTTCCTTACCAATGCTGAGCAATTAAAGAACACAACAGTATTAAAATCTTGAACCTTTGAATCTTATTTACCACAACCTTTACGCAAAGTCGGTTAAATCTAGCATTACTCCATTACTACAAAACTGATAAACAGAAACCATACTGGGTTCTTGGCATGCTGGCCAGAAAGGTCATTTGCTTCATTTTCCACAAGGAAAAAGATAACTGCTCTCTGAAAGTTTAATGCAGGCAACGGTGAGCTAGCGCTGTGGAAATTTGATGTCTATTTCCTGCATCTAAATAACTTGGAAAGGAATGCAAAACACGAGTTACAGATTAAACATTTGAGTTAAAATGATGGTTGGTTTTCAATTTCTAGTTTTTTCACTCATTCATTGTTCAGCCACGTTACACTACTGTATGTGCTTCAGGGAAGCGTTGCTTTTGAAAAAAATCTTGAAGCACAAGGGAGTATCAATGCTGGTGTATAAAGTCATTTCTCCACCCTCTCATATAGTTTCTTCAGGTCAGAATTGGGCCTGTTCTGAAAAATGTACGATGGAATGAAATATTATACTGCTTGCTACAGCTAAATAGTGGTTCACGGATTTTTAACTAGAGGAATACGGCCAGAACGTGAAGACCTGCACCTGGCACTGTGATATTTTTCTTGGGTTTTGGTTTTAATTATTGCACAGCTCGTAATTAATGATTTACAATACAGAGTTCCTTAAAGCAGGACTTGTTTTAGTATTTGAGCAAGGACATCAATCACTTGCTCCAATCCAGCTCAGAAGTAAACTGAAAAACTGAAGTGAAGGAGGAACTAAGGGCATTTGCCTAATATATAAAGTGATTAAGATTCCAAACACTAAGCTGACTTCAACTAAACTTAAGCAAGTAATGATAGTTAATCATTCTTTATACTTATAAAGCGCGTTCCTGGACGCTCCACTCAAAGAGCGTTACAGCACAGTACACTCACCACACATCAGCTATCATTGGAGAGGAGAACACAGTGATGTAGCCAATTCATAGATGGGGATTATTAGGAGGCCATGATCGGTAAGTGCCAATGGGAAATTGGCCAGGACGCCAGGGTAACACCCCTACGCCTTTCGAGAATCTCCCTGGAATTTTTAATGACCACAGAGAGTCAGGACCTCGGTTTTACATCTCATCCGAAGGACGGCGCCTTTTTACAGTAAAGTGTCTGCGTCACTAAACTGAGGCATTAGGACCCACACAGACAGCAGGGTGCCTCCTACTGGCCCCACTAAAACCTCCTGCAGCAGCAAACTTATTCTTTCCCAGGAGATCTCCCATCCAGGTACTGACCAGGCTCCCACCTGCACTTCATCAATGGTTTGCCAGTTGTGAGTTGCAGGGTGATCTAGCTGCTGGTAAGACTTTTTGGATCCGTAGTAAGAACATAGTAAGGATTTTTATTTCATTTAAGTTACAATTACTTCAGTTTAGCTCCACAGGATGCTTTTCCATATCTTAAAATGACATGACAGGCCTTTATGTGAAGAGATAAATGGATAAATACTACACATGATGATGAAATATACCATAGATGTGAATTGCTTACACATTATTGCATTTGTCGGTCATGTACATAAGTAAAGTTGATTGTTCAAGATATACTTTTCATTGATACAATGCCTTAAAACAGTAACAAAAGAACAATAAAAAAGGAAAGGCAAAATCCAGAATGGGAAAACAATAAAACTAATTGTAAGCAAATAAAGTAAAATGTAAAATTCACATCTTATGAAGAGTTTACTCACAAAAAATCGTTAGCCTGATAAACAGATTGTTTTTCAGAAAATTAAGACTTTGCACACTTGGCCTATGTCACATTAAAATTAAATAACATTATTGTTTCATCTCCCTTTGTTTATAGGTACCACACCCTTTCCATTTGTGCTTTTTCAATAAATGCATCCGTCATGCAAGCTTCACATGCAAACAAATTCTTTCAATAGCTTTCTGAGCATTAAAAGACAGTCAGCAACCAGCTGTATGTCATAAATGTTGGATGGCCATGGCCGTTGTACAATAATTAACTATAGTTTCTAGTTTTCAGTTAAAACAGATAAGAACAAAAAACACCCATGATGTGAAAAATAAATTTGACATTCACTGGGAAATCTCAACAAAGGGGTGGCTGAATTCACATTGATGTCATCTCTTTCCCAGTATGGGTTTAACAGGAAACCCTTTCTAACTCCCTGATATGAGTGACAAAAATAATATTGCCATGGTGCATTAAAAATATAAAAGCATCTAAAAACACTAAAAAACCAAAAGCGCTAAATATAATGTTTCACTGGTGTTTAATGATGCCTTCAAGGTTTAGACAGAATACCATATTGCTAAACATCTGTATTCACCTATACCTTTCCCCAAATCCTGTTAAGAATGCATTTAGTTTCAGCCTAATTTCTCTCCGCAACTGTGTGAAAACTACATTCTATTCAAGACTTTGTGAATGACTAAAGAGGAAAAAGATTATCGAAAGCAAAGTCATGGAAAATGGCCTTTAAAGAGATGAAATCTTCATTACCTTGCATAGCAAAACACTTCCACGTTGGAGATGGATCTGTCCACGGAGTTCAAGAGAACAGCCTCCTCCCCTTCCTTCAACTTATCCCTCCATTCCTTCGCCTCATTCGTAGTACCTTGCTGGTGAACAGAAAGAGAAATCACGGAGGCCAATAGTATGAAGACCATTCATGAAAATGGACTGGAAATCCATGGAAATGGGTTGGAGTGTCACCCCACTTAAAAAGCACTAAGCTGGAAGGAGCCAACAGTAAAATGGAACTAAAGTTTGATATTTTTCTAATATGATGTGTGCACTTTTGCATACATCACATGTTAATCACATTTGTTATAACCAGACACCTGAAGAAGGCTCCACGGCTGAAACATTGCATTTTCTTTCTTCTCTTTTCAGCATGGAATAAACCTATTACTTGTTAATTTATAACTTACCGTTAGGATAGTTACTAAAAAGTAATGTATTCATCACGCACTGCCATAACTGCAGAACTACATTTAGTAAATAATTCTTCACTCAATGAAAATAGAAAATAAAAAACACATTTTATAATATCCTGATTCCCTTAAAAATGCACATGTAACATTTTCCAAAGAACAAATTTCAAAATTTTAACAACACTAAGTAAAATTAATGTATTTTCTTTCTTCCTGACCAAAGGCGAAAATCCGCCAAGTAGCTAAGTATTTTCACGTCTGAAAACAAGTGACAATTTGATATCATTTTTCTTCTCAGACGCAGACGGAAAATGAGAAAATCTTGTTATTGAATCATCGGTTTCACATGCAGGCAGACTGTTTTGCCTCGAGCACTGAAGATCACCACTTGTGAAGAAATAAACATATCCACACCGGTGCGAGGGCAACAAGGCGGGCATCTGAGAATCATTTTTAACATTCCAATTATGTCGATTGGGGAAGCTACCAAAGGGTTTCAAGCCGAGCATTAGGGGAACAAGAAAGGGATAAAGGACATTTGACAAAATAGGATGGAAAATGATTTCATGATATATTCCAATTATCTATTCATTTGGACATAACATAACATTTTTATCCGAGGCCAGTTAAAAGGCCATTTACTCAGTCTCTCAGTTCAAACAGTTATATCATCCTTTATTACTTAAACTTGTAAGCCATTTATCACTCCCAGGGTTTAAAAAGACTGAAAAGAGGACACAGTAAAAAGTGTTAGTATTTAATAGGTCTGAGAATTTCCAGCTAGATACTGAAAAAAACAACACAGCTCATAAGATTCAGATGTACAATATATGTACAATAGCTTATATTCGTATGTTTTCATAAACTAGCACAAATCATGTATATGGCCTCTATATTATAATTGCATGAATATTTAAATCAAATATTCTCGTATTTCAGAAAACTAAATGCGTGTAAAAGTATGCACACGGGTATGCATTTATAATAAAAAGTACAAGATGATCGTCAGCAAAATGTTTACTATGATATGATGGATCGCAAGGAATAAGCAGTAACTGGAAATCAATACTTTATCCCAACAGCACATTGAAAATACTGGAAAAAAAAGCTTTAGAAATGCTTTTCAAAATTCTATGATATTATTCTGATCAACACAAGTTAAAAAAAGGTCTCCACCTTTTTGTTTTGACAACCTACAGCTGCAAAAATACCCTCCGCTGTTCAATAACACCTCTAAGTTTTGACTTTCTTTTCTTTAATTATTGACCTACTTTTATACTATTTTAGCTCTATTTTCATGTTGTATAAAGCTTACAACTAAGATTTCCCTCTTTATTCACAATGCTTTTTCTTTCAAATGTTGGATTCATAAAATATGCACTACCTTATTTTAAGTTTACATGGTTTCACTATTTTTTAATATTATTAAATAACTTACATCACAAAAAAATCCCAAGCATTACACCTATTAGACAGGATTCATTCCATCAACCACTGATGAGCAGCACCAATTTGGCATTAGGTTTAGCCTTACAAAATATATATATACTTATAAATAATAAAATAGAGGAAGAAAGCAAATTGCCAGTTTAAGATTGACCAACTAATATGTTCACTCACTACCAACAGTAATTCAGATGGAATCCCATCTAAGATCTTCTGTTTTACATGGATTGAACAGCTACCTTCCATTCCTCTGGGGGCACAGAAGAATCTAAGAGGTCACCTTGTTTGGTAATCAACAAAGGCAATTCCAGTGTATTTCCCCAATATCTTTAACTTGGCCGTATGTGGAGGCTTCCAAACTATAGAAATGTAACCAAAATCAATCTAAGGGACATGAACAAACAGGGAACTATTTATGCAGAACTAATTAGCTGAGTGATTTGGTTAAATACAGCACCACCAAATGTCTCACCACTACATTGAACACAGAAGAAATTTGCATCCGTGATTGTGAAAAAAATTGCATTCATCTACCTAAAACAATTAATTTACAAGAGAAGCTCCACAACATTCATGTCATAGTATATTTAAAAAAACAACACACAAGACACCCTGTTCCATTCAAAATGGAACCACAAAATGAAATGCAAAATGAAACAATGACTGTGTTTCAGTGAATAAGATTGGCAACTTTTTAAAAAGAGCAGTACCCATTGTTGCAATATTACAGAAAAGTAACAAGGTCGGGGGGGCTCAGTCTAAATGAAGTCAGTGAAGCTCAAGCATAGGCTCTCCCTGCAACTCGCCCCTCTAGTGTTACTGTTTCGTTTATCATTGATTTATTAAGGAATGATTTTGCTATTCTCTGAACGATTTTAACTTATTCATTGTTTTGCTGCACTTTGTCTGATCAACTATAAAATAAAGTTGTCCCATTTTTCTTGGTTCACATATATATCCCTCATTTTGTTCATATTTTTGCTATTCATCATGCTTTTCTGGACCACGTGCAGAATGAGTAGCAAAGACAGCAGTACACCGAGTCAGGACGACACATTGTTCATGTCAAAGCAGCGTATCCAGTTTTCTGATGGTATGAAGAACTAACTGCTTGTCAGTATAGTGAATAACTTTACAAATTAAAGTATTAGGATCATCCTTATGTGTCAAGGCTTTCATAAAATCTTTTAATTCTCATGACCTAACTGGACCTGGCTCACCAACCATTACAGAAGGCCAGCAGATTAATACAGCCACCTCTGTTCGCGAGTTCCTCTGGATAGCAAGACACTTTGGATTATCGCCTTCTCCAACTCAATGCCATAGTTTTGTCTATGAGCTAATGTTGCATATTACAGAGGACACTCTAAACCAATCCTATGCTGACTTGGTATCCACCTATCTGAAAAGCTCTCTAGACATATGGGAGCCACTTGGTAACTGGCCTGCCCATGTCTTTTATATCTTGAAGCTGTGCTCTCATGGATTGGATTGACTGAAGGACATGTTCAGTGGCTTCATTATGGTATAACTAGTATAAATTATTTTGTGCTAAAGAATATAGAGTGTTATGAAAATGTGATGATACTCTTTTTTGTAATCAATATTACTAGGCAAAAAAACAACCACACAGATTTTCTGGATGTCTCAATATGTTCAATATGGATACAATTACATATTTAAATGCTGTTATTTTTTATCATTTTACCCACACAGACTACAATCAGAATATTATTTGTATCTTTGATTCAGAATTTAGTACTTTCAATGATTTCTTAAATAATGTTTTAAATGATAAAGCATTTTCCATTGCCTATTCTGGATTTAAGTCCCAGCTCACAGTGAGGACCCCCATTATCACTTGGGGTGATCCACCTACCCATCATGCTATACCTCCTTGGGCATAGAGGAGATATAACTGACTGGAACAGAGGCACATCTTTCACAGATGTCACCCAGAGTCTGCAAAGGCTCAGGAAGTTGTACAGGTTGGTTACAGTTTCACTGAGAGCCAAGAGTGGTCAGGACAACTAACCCCAGTAGTATTTTAGATGATGATAAACTCATTCTGGTCAAAGACTGCTAGTAAGATACTCAAACTGGAGACATCTGGATCACAGAGTCCAACCTTTGCTGGTTAAGCCTCCCAGAAGTCTACATTTTCAGCTTTTTAAAAATGATCTAATTTAATAATATTTAAATCAGACTGAAAGGCCAATTCTAGTTCAGCAGTTTCAACTTTGTTGTTCTAAAAATAATAGAAAGTATAAAACTTTTGTTCCATTTATCGCAATATATCTAATTATCAGTAATTATGAAAAAAACGTTTAGCAATTGTTTATGGTATGAAATATATCTTAAAAACAATGCTAATAAAAAAGTTACCTTGTATTCATCAATCCAGGAAAGTAATCCTGGAAATGTGAAACTGGCCCAGTTTCCGGCATAATAAGTTCTCCTGTAACAAAATAATCAAAATTTATGTTAAACATAAATTACATATTATTGTCATTCTCAGTGATGTTATGGTAGATGTGGTGCAAATGTAAGCCAAATACTAAATTTTAAATTTAATCATATAGACCTACCCTTATTCTAATTTTAGGTGTGTATTACTGCATGTTATTGAAAAACATATATACCTTTTAAATGACAAATAAAGCTGTGTGCAAAAGATTCAAATGGTCCAATTGTTTCAACAAATCTCTAAGTGAACAGAAGGTGACATCCTCTACTGGGTACAAAATTAAGTCAACCTCTTTCTGCAAATTATACTACAAAATTACTATTTGCTGATTTTAACAGATCGAAAAAAATAAAGTGAGTCGGGCATGTACAAAAGTCTGGCCACTCTTCCAGTTGATTCATTTCTACTTTTTTGAATTCATGTTTTTCAAAGGCTCCAAAACATGATTGACTCGTTAGGCATTAAACTAAGTAAGGTGAAGACAACTCCAGGGTTGAATATATACGCTGACCCTTCTACCCTCTCAGGTTGTGACTGTTATTCTGCCTGCTTTCAACAACTATGGGCTCCTCTAAACAGCTGTCTGATAACTTTAAAGATAATTCACTCTTATAAAGCAGGAGAAGGCTATAAAATGCTTCCAGCCTGCAATTTCAGCCATCACAAACATCATTAAGAAATGGAAATTAAAAGCTCCTGTTGAAATCAAGGCAAGATCTGGAAGAAAAAACTCAGAGTTCTGGTAGAACTGATTGAAAACTGGTCAGATCTGCAAAGGGGAACCCACAGATCACTGCAAAGGACCTGCAGAAAAGTTTAGTTGGAACTGGAGTAATTGTCCACAGGTCCATGGTACAGTGTTGCTTTCACAGAAATGATCTGCATTAGAGAGTTGTCAGAAACCTTTCCTTCGACCTCATCATGGAATGGCCCTCACAGCCCTCAGACTTTGAATATTATTGAGAATTTGTGGGGATATCTCCAACATGCAGTGTATCCACGAAGACCTAAGAATACTTCTGAGCTACAAGAGTTCTGCAAGGAAGAGTGGAGGAAAAAAATACAAAAGCAAAAACAGAAAAACCCTTAGCTGGCTATAGGTTAGGCTTGGAAGCTGTGTTTTCAGACAAAGATGTGTTATTAAGTAATGACTGACAATTCAGGTGGCCTCAGTTCATCTAAGGTTGTAGAATAAATACCCATATCCCACACCTGAATGTTTGCATATTTTCTGTTAACACACCACTCCATTCAGGAATGTCAGAACCAGGAGCAGAAGAACACTAACACTAAAGCACTATACTTGAAAATGGAAAGAAGACTATTTAAATGCATATTGTACTAAGCTGTACAGAAATGTAGACAATGGTATCATTTTGGAAGAAGCAAAGAAGTTAGTAAAACAGTAAGAACACTAATTTGATCTGGAAAACAACAACATCAACAACAACATAAAAAGAACGCAGATGTTTTAGATATCAAAAGGCATCATATCTTCATAAAAGAATTTTATCTTTTATCAGCAGTGAAGGAACGCAACATGCTTTGAATTTGTTTTTGAAATGTGAACATACATTTTAATTGTACTTACAGAACCAGGACTGTTTTATTCCTAAATTGCCGGTGAAGAACCTCAAAAGGCACAGGTGTTTTTTCAAATAATTTTGGAAGCAGGCCAAAGCAAATATCCAGAAAACAATATTTATAATAACACAAGGCGTAGCTAAGCATAATATTCCTTCAGCAAAGGGTTCAATTTCCCAAATTCCAAATTCTACATTTTACTAAATGATGAACTTGATTATTAATTATTTTTTGTCTTTAAGTTTAAAATGCTTTTAAAAATATATGGCCTCTGAAATGCACCATTAAAACTATTCCCCTGCTTGCACACTGTGAGCCAACAGCAGATACAGCATGGCCAGAATCAGACTGCATCAGAGTACTGATGCAGCTCTTAGTAATAACTCTATCAAACAAGAAGCTGGGAGTCAAAGAGCCTCTTCCCTTATAGCACGAACCAGGAATGCCCCATAATGCTAAGAGAAAACCTTGTGAGAATTCAAAATGAATTTTTATCATACTAAGCAGTTAAAAACAAACTGCATTCTTAATGTCTTAGACAAAGCCCTCTCTGGAATCTACACTTAAAAGATATGTTGGCAACTATGTCCTTCAGAAGTCTGTTTTGGCTGTGATAATTTATTTTGTAAAGGTCTCCGTTTTTAACTGTTTATGAAACTGAATGACAAATTGAGACAGGTGAAGAGCTTTTATTAATGTGGTCCCTAAGCTTTAACCATTGAGAACCATTCTAAGTATGCTTGTTTGGGAGTTATTGCCTGTGGTTAAAAAAAACTCCTCTATTAACAACATTCTAAATATTGGATCAATGATGTTTTTGAGTGTAAAGACATGTACATGAAGAGTATACTTCATCAATACCAATGTTCAGTGCTCAAAAGAAATCAATGAATAACAGAATAGTTTCACATCACAGACTGTAGTTATCTCTAGTTTTAGACAACCTAGTTTTTACCCAGGCAAAGTAAGTAAGTCTAAGAGGGCAACTAATTTTGGGCAGATGAGAAATGGGACATAACATTTGTGTGAGGATATCTACTCTCCGAAGACATAATGCATAACCACACCATCCAATTCAGGGTTGCAGGGAAACTGTAGCCTACCCTGGCAAGCATGGGCATAAGGGGGTGTACACCCTCAAAAGGATGCCAGTCCATCACATGGCACACAGACACAAACATGCTCGCAATCACACCAGGGACAATTTTTCCAGAAGCTAAATTACTTATCAGCCTGTCTTTGGACTGTGGGAGGACACCAGAGCACCTGGAGGAATGGACACAGACATGGAGTTTATATGTCCTCCCCATATGCACCCAGAACTGAACCCAGGACCCCGGCACTGCAAGTCTGCAATGTTAACCACTGTGCCATCCTGGATATATTCTAATTGTCCTGTATATAAACATGCATACCTGTCAAGATGCAAAACCCGCTGACCGATTCTGGAGCACGCAGCGGCAATGACAGACTCTGGAAGACCTGAAATGAATAAAGACATTTTACACAATCAAGCTGCATGAAATTATGTTGTGATTATGTGCACTGTTTTTTGGGGGGAGGGAGGGAAGCCGAGTTAGAACTGATTTGACCAGGAAAGATAAGTGCATTTAAAAGCTGGACTTTTCATTTTTTTGGCAGATCTGCATATTGTGCAGCAGTCTGCAGTTGTATTATTTTTAAGCAATGAAGATGACAGTTAATTTTTCCAGCTACTGTTGGTCCGATGTGAACTGAAAGGCAAAAAAAAAATCATGGAAGAACAACATGGTTTGTTTTTTTGGCAATTGAGAGTAAACGAGCAACCAAAGTTTCACAGCATATTTGTCCATACAAATTAGAATATAGTTGAAATATAGCAGTTGCGTTTTGCATATTAAATCTTAGACGCGCATTCCACAAAGGAAAATATATTTTTGAAAAAAGTTCGTAAAAGTAAAAAAAAAAAGATTTGTGAGTTTGTACATTTTTACTTTTGTAAACAATACTGGCAGCTACAGTACACTAATATCAGCACACACAATTATGGAAGACCAAGTGAAATACAACATAGCCTGCAGAAGGCATCAGCACATCAGAGGTTTTCTGAGAAAGATGAACAGGAGATGGTATTGGGTAGACTGTATAACACTTAAGAGCTCACAAATAATCACCTACAGTTGCTGTTCCAATCTAGTCTGCTTTTGGTCAATACAATATTACTGATTTCCTTGAGTGCGCACACATTGTAAGCATACCCCAGCCTGCTCTCCATGAGACACAGACACACAGACAGGGAGAAAAGCTTGGGGTCAGAGCGCAGGGTCAGCTATTGTACAGCGCCACTGGAGCAGTTGGGGTTAAGGGCCTTGCTCATGTGGTAAAAGTAGGATTCCTCTGCCGGCCGCGGGATTTGAACCAGCACAGATCCTTAGCTACAGTGCCACCACTCCGCCCAGTTCTGTTTCATGCGATTGCGCTACAACCTAAACAAGTACTCTGAACAAGCATAACACAGCATCGCTCAAGAGTAATAACATGGACCCCAGGGAACAACTGTACTAAAGCAGATGACTGCCAGAGAGAGGTCATTATATGCACCTATCCAAGTTCGCCACACTGTGCAAAGCATGCCCGAGGACAAGTTTTAAATATTGGTCAAATTCTAATTAAAGGAAATAATTAGAATAATAAAATAATAAAAAGACTCAAGTCTATTTTACTATTGCATATCAAAAGGCACACAAAATGGGACAAGAGCACTAATAAGGAAAATGAGATGATATAATATTCAATAATTTTTAACAATGTCAGCTGTAGGGCTTTTAAAAATCTGTGCGTGGGGCAAATAAGTGGGTCGACCAGTGAAAAATGAATCTGCAGGACAAATAGGAATGTAAAGTCCACAGACCACAGTGTCGGATAAGAGCTAAATAACTCAAATGTGACCGTGTTTGGGTGGGCTCACTCCAGTATTGGGTGTCCTGGTTTTCCAGCACCTGTCAGCTTGCACCATAACTGTAGTGTTAAAAGCTAACAGCGCACATTTTGGAAGGATATCACTTCTGCACGGGGCCTACGATGGTGAACGGAGCTGAATAACTATTGACAATTCAAGATGGGGATGGTACTTAAAAAGAAAAACATTTAGTGATACTAAAAGTGGAAAAAGTTTGGAAAAGCGCCATGTCGCAACTGTTCTCATCATTTCACCTTCACCTGGCCTTGCACTTTCATCCACAATCCATGCCTAAAAAAAACACAAGAAACAGTGCCCTGCTTTTAAAATGACATCCAAGGTCAGAAACAAAAGAAATTAGCTGAAGCAGTTGTGTCTCGGGAAAACAATTAAGACTCGCCTGCCTCCGCAAGTCTTCTGCTGTGGCTATAAAATTAAGAAACAAAACCTGCGGAGACCGACACCTTCATCCCCTCTGAAAGTCGACCGCACCAGCAGAACTGCTGTATGCTTCTTTAGAGAAAGTGAGACAGAACTAAATGTGCAGCTTGAGATATGATAGACATCATGTCATTCGCTGTAACCTCGCATGTCACACGGCTTCGCACTGTGATACATCACAGCGGCAGGTCTACCTCACTGGTCCAGACACAGCACCTAGTGGTAAAAACGTGATTAATAATTGATTGACTGCATACTCTGCCCTATCTCAATCAAGTCCCTGGGAAAAAAAAGAGGTTATTTCTATCTCTGTGCACAATTTTGAAAATGTTGAAAAGTGTAAATAATCCCCTAATGCTGTTTATTGTATCTGATATTGATTTTTCCACATCATGTTTGCTAAAGACAAACATTACCCACCATAAAATACTCACTCGGCACTAGACATACTATACAATAAATAATAGATTGGGTTGGCAGGACTTTGATGACCGAGCAAAGCCTGAAATGCTTTCAGCAGGAATTGTATGAAATCATAAATCACTCTTCATTTCATAGAACATTCCAAAATGGATTCTATCTCTCTACCTTGAAAGTCATTTCATGTGTTATTTATAGCCAGGGTAAGCTGTTGGACAGCATCAAAGGAAACAAGCTCAGCCCTTTAGCTGAGTGCCGGCAAGCGAAGACACTTCACTCGGAGAGCTCACATTCATTGTTAGGTTAATAGCCAGGCATGGACAGCTGCAGCTCACAGGACACAAAAGGGCAGCGGCTTTTATTTTATTCCTTAATGATATAGGATCAAAAACATGGAGCAAGCAGGGCAAACATGCTGCCCCAGCACTGCAGCCAGTGATTATAAGCCTCTGAAAGACAAAGATAATTAAACGCATGTATATAGTGAAACAAAAACCAAACCAAAGATAATTAAACGCATGTATATAGTGAAACAAATGTCTGTTAAATTGTAACCATAACCATAATTTACTCTGGCTGAGGTTAATCACAAAAGCCTCTCTAAATACCACCCTCATTTTGATGACATTGTCTTCTTTTAAAGAGACTAAAACGTTTCTCTTGTGGTTTTGAGGCTGTGTTTCACGTGTTTTAAGAGAAGTACGATTAAGCAAAAGGCGAATTCAGACACCAGCACAGCTATACGATACTAGTACCTGTGGCTTTGTAAAAAAAAGTAACATCTTCCATTAATGTATTGTAGTGTTTATCAACCCACAGTGCTTTTCACAAAGCAGGAAGATGGCAGATAAGAGTATGAGCAAGGGCACAACTGAGAGGAGGCCACTTCTGTATTCACATTACTTTCCCACTGAAACACAGCATATTAAGAGAGGATGCAGTCATTTAACTGCAGCTTGAATAAAAGTACACAGCACTTAAGACTGGTAAGAAAGAAATTAAATGACCAATTAAACTGAATGGGAAAGTTTAGATGGCAGAGTCCAGATTGAGAAAACCTGACTTAGAATTCAGTCAGGATACCAGGGTCAGCACCTTTACGTTTTCAGACAATACCTTAAGACCATATTTAGCACTCAGAACTAGCTTATGCATGGAAATAGAATTTTAGGGCTCCTTCATTGAAAAGAATTGCAGATCATGCCAGCTATGTTTGTAATAGAATATACACGCATCCATTTATGTGTATAGATGTAAAACTATGTATCTACAGGTACAAGTACAGGTATATTATTATTTGTTCACCGTTTTTCTGTTGTGGTATGCTCCAGAAGACAAGCATTTTACACAGATTTTTACAGCCGCTTGTCACCAAACCAGGGCACTAATGTGGAACTTGTACAAGAAAAAAGTGGCAACTAATAGTCCAAACACCACCACTTCCAGCATTAAACTCATTTCTGCAAGATCTCTCCAATCAAAATGACAACAAAAAAAGCATTCTGGCAAAATCACACATCAACTTGACACCAGATGCTATCTCATGGGCTTAGATCTAATGTCTAGTGGTGAGTCATCACATTTGTTTTTTGTTAATAATGTTTTCTACTGCAGTCCAATATCATCTTTGCAATTAATGCTCCACCCTCAAAGCATTCTCCACCCCATGTCAAAACATCAGGATGAGCAGATGTAATAGTACCGCCTAATGCTACACTAGGCAAAATATTTTAATTCTAATCCTGGCCTCTGGCAGTGGCAGAAACAGATCCGGCCAGCTGAGCTCACTGCAGCTAAAAAGATGCTGCTTCTATGCGCAAAGACACTTCTCTCCCTCCTCTGGCATCACTGGGTCCTGGCCTGTCTTCTCAAAGTAGATCTAAGTATTTAATTAACTACATCGTTGCAAACACTCCTAACCAGGCTCCAAGGTGGCTGATAGGTAACTGTACCCTTAATGAAGCGAATATCTTGTGTAATCGGCTGTAAAAGTCCTGAAGAAAAAACCTACGTCTAATAGGGAGAATAATTAGTTATCCTTAATTGACTTAATCATTGCTTAATTGACTAGTCACTTTGGAACAAAAACCAGAAGACACAAGCTCAGGTCAGGATATAGTTAAGAATTTAAGATTCCTGATTCACATGGAGTTTTCTTACAGCCCATGGTCTTTAGGGAGGAGGGATTGAGCTTTGTAGTTGTGCTGAGGACAATGTGTAGCTTCTGTCTCAACAATGGTTAGACATTAGGGAGGGGAGGTGCCCCATAAGTGGGATTTGAGGGAAAGTTGTTTCATTTTAAAGTTTTTTTTCTTTTTCTGCTCTTATAATTAAAACTTTATCATTTAAAATTATCATTAACTCATGAAATAAGACATTGTGATAGAGCCTTCCTTAGCCAATTTTATTTCCAGGGACTTGATATTTTTATGTTCACAATAAACTACTTTGTTAAATACTGCTGGGATGCACGTAAATAAAATGATCATCTAATGCCAGGCCACAAAAAAAGCTGACAAGTAAACTGTAATTGTGGTTACACGGCACACAGGCTGCAAAGTGAACAGGTCATCTGTGCTAATGTGATTGCTTAGAGTAGGTGCCAATGCATCAGCATTTTGTTCTTCTTGCACAGCTGCCTGATGAGTGTCCATCCCACAGCAGGAAAACCTGAGAGGTGTGT